GTGTAATTATGAAAGGTGTAGATGGAAAATTGTTTGACCAGGTGTGTTGCAATCGTAACTTAAAAAACTGAAATATTCACATCATGTGGAGTACGCCAAGAATGTTTGTAGAGTCCTGTTTTATTTTAAATGAGCTGACAGATGAAATAGAGAAACGTGGACTGAGAGGGGATTTTGTCAGAGATGGACAAAACGATATCATGCTGCTATTATTTGCAGATGACTGATGACACTGTAATAGGCCTACAAAGAACACTTGCTGTGTAAAATGCTTTCGTAACAAATGGGGCCTAGAAGTTAACCTAGAGGAGTTATGTATTATTGTTTTCAGAAATGGTGGATATACCTAAGTTATGCACAAAAATGACTTATGATGGTAAACGTATGAAAGTAGTATCCCTCTATAAATAGCTAGGTATTGTCTTCACATCAAGATTAATTTGGTCAAAAGCATGTAAAGCATTAGCACTACAAGCTGCTAAGGCTTCGTTTCCTACTCGTACTTTATTAAAGGATTTTCCAAATATTTCTCTTAAGGTATACAATACAATATTCGACAATCACATAGCTCACCAATTGTTATATGGTTAGGAAATATGGGGGTTACACTTCTAGTGCAAATATTGAAAAGATTCAGATATTTTACTTTAAACGATATTTATGTGTTAATAGGTAGAGGGTGGAACATACTTATGTGTTGATTATTTTAGTCGTTGATAGAAATTAAGAACTGGCATGCTAAAATTATTCCTTCATTATTTCTAAACAATTATTCTACATATAATTCTGTACCCGAACCAGAGAAATATATCATGTAGTTTGGTCCAAATAAAGATCTTGTCCGCATATTATGTAAATTCCGATGTCTGAGCCATAAGTTGGGTATTCAACAGTTTCGTTCCAATGACAAAGTTAATACTGATTTACTTAAGAGCAATAAATGTAATCATAATATAATGGAAGACGAATACCTAATAGTTTGTCCATTTAATATGGAAAACAGAAAGCTCTACATCCCAAGCTCCTATTACCAGTATCCATCACGAGTGAAATTCAATCAACTAGTAGCAACAAAATGTTAAGTTAATTAAAATATTGCTATATATTTGAAACGAAAATATGCCTGTGTAATGTATCATAAATATTGTATTGAGATAGTATAACATTTGTCCCACCTGTCCATGTGTAAAAGTTTTATCTCATCTGTTGAACTCTGTGGATGTGGACTTTGATACTGAATAAACGTCTTGTTCTGATATTGGTAAGATCAGTATTTTAGGTTCACCGCCAATTGAAATTACACACAACAGCAGAGGGAGTATTTATCGACATGCGTTGGTTTTTTTAATATAGTTTCTGTAAATTGAATTGATGGTGCTGTAGCCTAGTGATTTTACACGCGCTTGCCGTGCATTACAGAATTCTATTTTATATTACTCATAGTTGTGGCTGAATTATTGCTCAAAGCAAACATTATTGGAATAATCTTAACGTTTAATCTTCAATCGTGGTACGCGAAATAATCTGTGCAGTGACAAGCCTAATAACTGAAGTAAGAATATTTGAAAGTTAATGTAACATCGTTGGTCAAACACCTCTTACGTACCTTCGTACTTTTTACTCGAATTATTAAGACATCGAGGGAATAGCATTAAACAGCACACGCCAGAAAGGGTGATTGTCATGTTTTCGCTCAGGATCCTGCCTACGAGTATCATCATCAAGAACTGACAGCGCCCTTACGTCTTTGATACTCTATACCATTTGACTCCTCAATAAGGACATATATCAATATAGGCCCGATAAATGATGTAATAAACATGATTGAGTTTCGTATGTACATTGGTATTGTAGATTTAGATTTAGATTTTAAAATGAAATGTTATATTATAATTATTCGTTGCGATGTAGTCAAAGCCAATTAGCACTTTTACTTTCGACACTTCAATGGAAAGAGGTACAATTAGAGCAGTTTTCATCATACATATCATATCATTTCATCATATTCGAAACAGTGTCATGTAAAAGTTATTTTCGCAAGGTTAATTCATCTGAGAGGCATCGTGACTCCGAGCAAAAGTGAGTCATACTCAGCAACTGAGTAAATGGCTTTGTAGTGTTTCATTATTTGCAAAAAGAAACTTGCCACATAGCTTTTACAAACTTTTGCAGTTCATTTATTTTCTCATTGATCATGACATGATTAACAACCCGCCACTTTGTTCCTAATAAAGGCTCAACTTGAAATTCGCTGTTTTAGGCGTATATTATCACGGATCATGTTTGTGACAGTCATATCTCAACGAAGGTCACCAAGGGTGGACAAAACAGTACACATGGCATCAAGTTAGGGAAGCGAACATATGTTTTAAATGGAGTCGGTCATCTTCCTGAAGCAAGGGAGGTAACTGACTGTAAAAGTCCAGTTTCCTCTTTTATAGTCAGTTAACCCCTTTGACTCGGGAATATGGGGACGATTCACTAACGCACTGAATTTATAAGCGGTTTCTAAAGTTACTTCATAGAGAGAAATTAGGACATCGATTGGTATAATAAATGTTCGAATTCCTGGTATATTTCGCAATCGGCCGATGACTATCTCTTCTGCAATAAGGACGGCAACTATATTTACTCTACATCCGTGCCCCGCTCCACAAAGCGATCTAAGGGTTAAGATGGTCTTATCTGCCGTTAGTTAGTCATAGACTAAGGAAGTGGACTAGGGGCAGTCGGAGCCCTATGTATGTATGTATGTATGTATGTATGTATGTATGTGATGGATAGGTGGATATGAGTGAATGGATGGATAGTTCGATATGAGTGAGTGAGAATAATCTACGCCGCATTCACCAATTAACCAGTGTTGCCTTATAGCAGAAATACAATTGCAGGGGACACAGAAAATGAACCTCACTCAATACGTACCCATCTAAAATAAGAACTCTTGAGTCATATCAGTGTACACAGCGGGTACAAGTAAATTGGACTGTGATTCTCTCATAGAATGCATGACCATGCATGCACTCTTCGCAAGAGAAAAAAAAAGACGAAAAATAATTGTTACATTGAAATATTGACTCTCGCGTAGCAATTAAGGCGTCCAGCGCACGGCACATGGACGTACGGAATCACGTATCAAGGATCGGCATCTGCCGTACCAAAAGGAGCAGCCTTTGTAACCACCAAGCTACCTCGGCTTTATTAAAAAAATCCTGTCCGTATATAGAGTCAGAAACAATACTACAATAGTACCCTCCAGGTGTACATAGGAACTGTTTTATATCGATCATAACCTCAATATACCAAGCTGTCACTGCGGTACAACGCGTTTCAGGGAATCTCTACAACCCAAGCATATTGCTAAAAGCGTGGTCAGACCCTTGTCTGTCATACAGACACTGATACAAATATATATCAAATACAGCCCATGCAAGTCTATAATGTTTGGCAAGTCTAGATTACTGCAGTATCTGAATATGAAGAGAGTCACTGGGCTCCCTATTATTATATTAAGATATTATATTATATATTAAGATAACTGAACAACTGTTTTTTTTCTGTACGATATGTTTATTTCAAAGACTAGATGTTAGTCTGGTCAGACCCTTCATCACTATTAGTGAGTGAGTGAATGAGTATGGTTTTACGTCGCTTTTAGCAATATTCCAGCAGTATCACGGCGGGGGACACCATAAATGGACTTGTAGCATTGAACCCATGTCGGAATTCGAACCCGGGTCTTCGAACGTTTTAACCACTAGGCTACCCGACCGCCCCTAAATCACTATTACTGTGTTACAACTGGGCAATTCTGAATATGTGATACATTACAAAGCCACGAACTACATGTTTCATTTTATGTTCCTGCACTTACCTTATCGTTATTTTCAACGTTCCATTGAAAGTCACAGTGGGGCAAGAAATCACTTTGAAAAATCTTTCTTTCTGAAAAGCCTTCTTATTAATGCACGTCAAAAACCGAGAAAAAAATTCACTGTAGCCGTATTTAGCAGAAACATCAATAGTACGTCTCTGTTGTCATGTGAATCTTGATTAATAATGAATTTCTCATCAGTTTGATGGAATTAATTTGATATGCACCGTTGTTAATTGTACTTTACGTCTGCTTCCCGTCATGGTGTCTCGTGTTAACGCTCATCAAAACTCGTGCAGCGGAAGTGGGCCCTGATTGGTTTAATTTACAACAACCACATCACGTGACAATGCTGGCGAACACCTGCGTGAAATATACAAGGCTTCAAGCCTGATTTGACATGTGTTTATATAAACAGAGCGAAACGACGAAGCAAATTCTACAGAGGGATAGGGCGGTGGGTTCGACCCAACCTAGAAACATAATCGGGGCGAACCGGGATTCGAACCCACGATCATAGGTTTCTGGCGTGCCCAAGGGACGAAACTCTGCACAGCGAATCGCAGCGCCTTAGACGACTGGGCCACCCGTGCCCCCAGCACTGTGTAGAAAGTGTTGGAAGTTGGTTAGATTATGTAAGTGGATCGGGCGCATCCCTGTCACATCTCACATTTCATCTGACATCACATGAAGACCAGTTTTCGTGTGAGGATTACTTTTCACCCTGGTGTTCAGCCTTGGCCTATCTCCGAGGCTTGACCACTGTTGCATCGAGGTGATATTGTTCTTGTCATTGCAACTGCTCTCACATTTTATACTGCCACTGAATATTGTACTACCACTCTATTGTGTACGACCATTGTAATTGCTGGGTAGTTTTTAAATTTTTTGTATTGATTTCTAAACGTTGTTAATTTTGTAATACAATTATTGATTGTATAACATTTGTTGGTTGTTTGTTGTTTTCACACTAAATTCTTTTATGTACAGATTTCTGGATTAACATACTGTTTCAATTTGGGAATTGACATATAACAACAGACTGCCGTCATATAGCTGGATTATTGCGGCGCTAAATAAGAAACAAACAAACAAACTTGAGCTACTAACAACATAACGAGACATCCTTGCTTGCACATAATTTTACTTGCAAGGTAAACAATATATTATTATGAAACAATATGATACAAAAGATGAAGAATGATACAAGAATTGAGTACATGGTCGTTCAGTGGGACTCCTCGCAGCACACACATAGCATGTTCACTCTCAACGGTCTATGGACTTCGCTCGTGCACTGTCTGGAAGGTGGGCGTACAACAGCGTACAGGTAGAGTATAATGTGTACATAGTAGGGTATGTGAACAGGGTACATGTACTGATTGTGAACTATAATGAAATGACTTACTTTGTGTAAACAAATGTATTTAGTATTATCTAAAAATGCCAAAGTTGCAAATACATGGTAAATATCATCTTCCCGAGGCAAGAGAGTTAACTGACTTTAAAAGTCCAGTTTCCACCCTTGCAAGGGTGGAAACTGAACTTTCATAGTCAGTTAACTCACTTGCCTCGGGAAGATGTGTAAATAAATAAATAACATTCATCTCGTCTTGCCAAATACCAAACTTCTTTCATCCAGTGAAAGAATGAAAACAACACCTATATTTTACTGAGTGAGACTGCCACAATGTGAAAATACTTTTCGGTTATACTTAATACACGAGGTGACAATAAAGGTATTAGGCAAGGCAGTATGTCTAAATTGTTGATTTCATGGATTAGTCTCAGAATGGTAGTGTTTGGTATTCACCTCTGCACATGATGTCATTTACTTTATAGTGAGTGAATGTGAGTGAGCTTTGGTTTTACGCCGCTTTTAGCAATATTCAAGCAATATCACGGCGGGGGACACCAGAAATGGGCTTCACACATTGTACCCATGTCGGGAATCGAACCCGGGTCTTCGGCGTGACGAGCGAACGCTTTAACCACTAGGCTACCCGACCGCTCCCATTTCCTTATTAAGTGCCATCGTTGCAGTCTACATTTTCTAGAGTGACCATGTCAGATTGTTATCACCTTGGAGAGATATGGGACTTAGTCCAACTACATGATACTCCTACAGTATGTTGCTGTGTTACAGTTACAGTGTGCACAAATAATGCTACAGTGTTACATACAGAGTATAGAGACACCGTTACATACTGAATTAGAAGTGTAACCTGTACACAGACACTTTACATTGTATTATTGTATTGTTTGTTTTTTAACGCCGCACTCGGCAATATTCCAGCTATATGACGGCGGTCAGTAAATAATCGAGTCTGGACCAGACAATCCACTGATTTGATATCATGAGCATCGATCGACGAAAGTTGGATATGAGGACACGCATCAACCATTCCAGTAAGTCGCCTCATACGACAAGCATGAGTTGCAGAAGACCTATTTTACCCCGGATCTTCACAGGTCAGACACTTTACATGTACTTTACATATACAGTGATAAGAAACTACTAATGGAAAACGTGTATAGCATAAAGACACAGTTCTGCATACAAAGATGTGACACAATGTAACGTGTAAAGATGCTGTGTGTAGAGCAAAGAAACTGCAAATGGTGGACTGGAAATAGAACCGACAAATAGTGTACAAAGAGTGTTAAGAGTACATACACTGTTCAACATACAAAGTGTCAATTTACACAGTGTGGTGTAGCTGTGTACATACAGTGTAAAGAGTAGACACAGCTCTACATACAAAGTGTTAATTTACACAGCATAGTGTAGCTGTGTACAACCAGTGTAAAGAGTACAGACACAGCTTTACATACAAAGTGTCAATTTACACAGCATAGTGTAGCTGTGTACAACCAGTGTAAAGAGTACAGACACAGCTCTACATACAAAGTGTCAATTTACACAGTGTAGTGTAGCTGTGTACAACCAGTGTAAAGAGTAGACACAGCTCTACATACAAAGTGTTAATTTACACAGTGTGGTGTAGCTGTGTAGATACAGTGTAAAGAGTACAGACAAAGCTCTACATACAAAGTGTTAATTTACACAGTGTAGTGTAGCTGTGTACAACCAGTGTAAAGAGTAGACACAGCTCTACATACAAAGTATCAATTTACACAGTGTAGTGTAGCTGTGTAGATACAGTGTAAAGAGTACAGACAAAGCTCTACATACAAAGTGTTAATTTACACAGTGTAGTGTAGCTGTGTAGATCGGTGTAAAGAGTACATACACAGCTCTACATACAAAGTATCAATTTACACAGTGTAGTGTAGCTGTGTAGATACAGTGTAAAGAGTAGACACAGCTCTACATACAAAGTATCAATTTACACAGTGTAGTGTAGCTGTGTAGATCGGTGTAAAGAGTACATACACAGCTCTACATACAAAGTGTCAATTTACACAGTGTAGTGTAGCTGGGTAGACACAGTGTAATAAGTAGACACAGCTCCACATAAAAAGTGTTCATTTACAGTGTAGGGTAGCTGTGTAGATCTCATTCAAATCAGATCTAAGTTCTCCCTACCACAAAATTGAGATCTGATTTTGATGAGATTGAGATACAGCGTAAAGAGTACACTCCTCTGGTTGATGTTAGAGCAGGGATTGGTATTGGTGTGCTGGAGGAACAAGTAACACACTACACATGTCAATTGTGTTACAGAAAATGAGATTGTTTAAGTCGTGAGTGTACTAACTGAAAAATAAACTTAAATAATGAACAAACTTTGAATAATGTCCACCTTTGGCATCTATATCAAGTGTCATGAGGGGTATACCACCATATTTACAGTATTCAGTATTATCACAGGGGTCACTCTTACATACTGGGGTGAGTGACCTAATTTGCTGAAACACCAGTTTGAAAAGTTTTTCACTTCATTATCACTGTATGCCTTCTGAATGAAAGCCAAAATGGACCCAGTGATGAAATCCACAAGCATGGGGGGCGGTCGGGTAGCCTAGTGGTCAAAGCGTTCGCTCGTCACGCCGAAGGCCTGGGTTTGATTCCTGACATGGGTACAATGTGTGAAGCCCATTTCTGGTGTCCCTCGCCGTGATATTACTGGAATATTGCTAAAAGCGGCTTAAAACCATACTCACTCACTCACCTACCCTCAAGCATGGATATTGTGCTGACAGACCAAGGATCATAATCTGGGAAAAATATCAGATTGTCTGCGGATCCTGACACAATAAATGGACATAACTTTGAACTGTGGTGCTTTTAGTCCACCAGAAACCATTAACAAAAGATAGCATCCATTGTTCAGATTATTTTGTAACACAAATTAAAATAAATGGGCTTCCTGACCTCTTCAAAAATAAGAGAACATATTTTCATAACAAAACATGAATTCTAACTGGTATTTATTCAGTAATGACATATGATGACACATGTACACTTGTTAGTTTTAGGCTGAGATTATGTTTTTGCTTGTATGGACCAGCATACTCTAATGCTTTCAAACATATGTTCTTTTAAAAGAAAAACAGTTTGAATGAAAGCACGCTTATACTCTATATCCCTAAATGGGAGAGGACATGTTCAATGTTTCAGTCAGTAGGAGTGAGTGAGTTGGGTCTAAGTGTGCTTTGAACAGTGTTTTGGGTTTATCATGATGTGCCAGTGGGATGCGATAGGTAAGCCACAGTGATAGAGGTTGTCAACTTCTACTCTGTTGAAGAATCTCAAGGTGCCACACAGCAATATTCCAGCCATAACATAGGATACTGTTAATAATTGGGCCAGGCAAACCAGTGGTCAATAACATGAGCACTTAACCACATGGATCACAATACCCCATCATTAGCCATGTGACATACTGCAGCCACTGGTCGTCATCAGTCATGTCACACACTGTAGCCACTGGATGTCATCAGTCATGTCACACACTGTAGCCATTGGTCGTCATCAGTCATGTCACACACTCTGGCCACTGGATGTCATCAGTCATGTCACACACTGTAGCCACTGGTCGTCAGTCATATCACACAGTGAAGACACTGGTCGTCATCAGTCATGTCACACACTGAAGACACTGGTCGTCATCAGTCATGTCACACACTGTAGCCACTGGATGTCATCAGTCATGTCACACACTGTAGCCACTGGTCGTCAGTCATGTCACACAGTGAAGACACTGGTCGTCATCAGTCATGTCACACACTGAAGACACTGGTCGTCATCAGTCATATCACACACTGTAGCCATTGGTCGTCATCAGTCATGTCACACAGTGAAGACACTGGTCGTCATCAGTCATGTCACACACTGAAGACACTGGTCGTCATCAGTCATGTCACACACTGTAGCCACTGTATGTCATCAGTCATGTCACACACTGTAGCCATTGGTCGTCATCAGTCATGTCACACAGTGAAGACACTGGTCGTCATCAGTCATGTCACACACTGAAGACACTGGTCGTCATCAGTCATGTCACACACTGTAGCCACTGTATGTCATCAGTCATGTCACACACACTGTAGCCACTGGATGTCATCAGTCATGTCACACACACTGTAGCCACTGGATGTCATCAGTCATGTCACACACTGTAGCCACTGGATGTCATCAGTCATGTCACACACTGTAGCCACTGTATGTCATCAGTCATGTCACACACTGAAGACACTGGTCGTCATCAGTCATATCACACACTGTAGCCATTGGTCGTCATCAGTCATGTCACACAGTGAAGACACTGGTCGTCATCAGTCATGTCACACACTGAAGACACTGGTCGTCATCAGTCATGTCACACACTGTAGCCACTGTATGTCATCAGTCATGTCACACACTGTAGCCACTGGTCGTCAGTCATGTCACACACATTGTAACCACTGGATGTCATCAGTCATGTCACACACACTGTAGCCACTGGATGTCATCAGTCATGTCACACACATTGTAACCACTGGATGTCATCAGTCGTGTCACACACTGTAGCCATTGGTCGTCATCAGTCATATCACACACTGTAGCCATTGGTCGTCATCAGTCATGTCACACACTGTAGCCATTTGTCGTCATCAGTCATGTCACACACTGTAGCCACTGGTCGTCATCAGTCATGTCACACACTGTAGCCACTGGATGTCATCAGTCATGTCACACACTGTAGTCACTAGATGTTATCAGCCATATCACACACTGTAGCCACTGGTCGTCATCACACTTACAGCAAGCATGGCAAATTGAGCCCCTATTCTACCCCACAATTTCCACAGGGTGTCCTGACTGTGAGGCCAGGATAATGCCTCATAACATCAGTGATACCTCATAACTTGGTCAGCCTGCCCTCGTAGCTAGCTAATGGCAGGACACATCCAACTGATTAATGTCTGACTTCTATTACAGTAAGGTAAACATCATATAGTGTAGACTTCATTACCTATTATGCTTATTGTTCTGGCCCAGTTCCAAAAAATTGATCCAAGCACTGTGACTTTCGTAAGTCTATGTTAAAGTATGGTACTTACGATCATGTTTATGGCTTCGTGGAACGGGGCCCTGAACTACTTCATCTATGATAACTTACTCCCTGCTTGAACAGTATTTCCCTGATGCTGGAATGTGTAACCATGGTAACAGTACTAATTCCTAAAAAACATGTACATTTATAAGAAGGCAATATGTTTCTCATATTTACAATAGTCTCATGGTTAAGTATTGAATAGTTTCCTTAAATACAAACTATCAAAATACAAACAATCAACATAACAAAGCAACATGTCAATATTCACAAAATGAAACATCTACATTTCGATTTAACAAATCAAGCCCCTTACACCATTTATGGAGCTGAAAAAGGCCATTAACAGAACAGAAGCGTTCTTCATGTCTGTGCCCTACCCATGTAAACAAGCTCTTAGTGAACAGGCACGTTCTTGTTATGGATGCTCTGCCTATATAAACACGCTGTCAATGAACAGAAGTGTTCTTAACATCAATGTTCTTCCCATACAAACAAGCTGACCTGATCATGAAATAATAAATATTCAAGGTTCATTAGCATGCTAGGCCCCAGTCAATAAATAGGATCATGATCCAATATCATAAAAAAACATTCTTTTGTCACATGATAGTTGAACATTCAAAGTAAGTTTCCATGAATTGATATTATACAGAACACATTCATCATCGCACCAGGCACCCATCAGCTGTGTCATCCCCTACAAGAAAGCACTATGCATCACAAGGAATAAACAGGTTCCTCTTCCGTCTTTCATTCTGAATAAGTATCTTGGGCAACTCAACTCACGTAAATCTCACTCCCGTCCTCCATGTTGAGAAAATGCTTTGTCCAACAAAACCCATGGTTATATAGAACTGAAGTCATACTGAGTTTCCACCAGGTTGAAATTTCAACATGTCAGTGAACATAAGCCTCAGTCTGCAAATAACAGTCTCAGTTCATTATAATTCCTTTGTCAGACAAAATACATGGAAAACAGTGCCGAAAGACAAGTTTGGGCTAGTAGATTCAAATCACTTGGTACAGAATGGATGTCATCCCATCTTCCTGGTAGTCCTGGACACAGCCTTCAGCTTAAAGAAGGACTCCATAGTCTGGTGCTTAGTTCCAGTAAAGGTCTGGAAATTGGTGCCGAGACATTGCGTCATTACAATAAACGTCAAGTGCTAGTTTGATGTGAAGCATCAAGTTGGTCTAGACTAGGACTGCACATCAAATATAGCTCCCCTTTCAAGTGAACCTTACTTCTCTATATAAAACACAAAGAATGCTGCAGCTTCTGAAAATAATATATCCTCATACTTATGTTGGAATTTTGAAACCAAATTTAATTGGCTACAGCCAGGGAGCTGTAATGTAATCCTTGGCCTGTTGCAATCTATGATCTGGTGTTGGAACAGTGAATGAAAGAGTGAGTGAGTATGGCTTATTGCTTCTTTTAGCACTATTTCTGATACTGTAAATCATGAAATCAACGCATCATGATAATAATGCTGACTCGAGTACCAAAACAAAAATGTGTCCCTCAATAAATGTGACACACCCTACTTCTGATTTTTAATATTAAACAGAAGAATACATTCAAAACACACTGCTGATTGCTATTAGGGTGAACACTACATCATCTCACATCACACAAGCATCTTTCAAACAACACACTATACTTCAAAGCTGCACGTTTTTTTAAGTAAGTAATAACACAGGATCAACTCATTCATGTCTGCTCATCATGCTCATGATCACTCGAGTCGGCTTTTGACAGTGGCCGAGAATAAAGAAGTTGTCTTCCCGTGGGTGGCACCAATCTGGACTGTCTGACAAGCTTCAGTGAGCGGGACGTTATCAAAGTTGTTGACATCTGATAGTTAGTAGAAATCACAAAGCACTTCAGTGCTTGTATTGTAATGGGCTTTTGAATGTTATGTTTTCCTGAACTGAATTCAATTGATTGAAGAAAGACTCATGTGTAAATGCTCTTTTGTTTATATCATGAGTTTTCTGGCATCAAGAAAATTAGTAATCACGAACAGAGTTCGGATGGCAAATTTGGATGGCTAAATTCATAATAAAATGTGGCATTTTATTAATGTGAGCTACTAACGGTCATCATTTTTCAAATTAATTTCCTGCTTGCATTAAATTCATGATTTACAGTATATGAGTAATACTTTACCCACAAAGCTACCTCACAAGGCTTCCCCACCAGCACATGCTGGAACAGCAACAGGGTGTTACATATATCTATGATGGTACTTAACACAATATGATCACTCATTAATTATGTCCAGAATCCTGCCCACTTCAGGGTTAAGTTCCTTCCAGTGTTTCTCCAACAGCTGTAGAAACTTCTCCTTCTCACTTAGACTCTGAATAAAGAGTCGCACACAGAACTCTGGGCGGGGTTCTCTTCCCTTGTTCATACTCTCCTCACTGAAGTAGTCAAGTGACGCATCAACCACCAACTCCTCCTTCTCATCACTGAATATCAACTGGATCACGTTCCCTGAATTGCTGTACAGAACAACCCTCTTCAAGTTTTCAATTTTACGAGACTCGACAATCAGATGTTGTGGATTTTCAGGTAGACCTCTCACAAAGTCAGGCAGAGGGTACGTCACAATATCCTCTTCGGCCAAGCAGATGTGGGTACTACTTAAAATTATTGTCCTTGCCACAATATGATCTGTTGATCCTGTCAAGAACTCCTCTGGAACCACGTAACCCAAAATGTACATCCACAATGACTGTTTGCTGTTGTTCGGCAGAACCTTCTCCTTGACAAGATACAGAATGTCTTCGATTGCATCTTCTCCTGGGTAGCAGAAACGCACTTGACTGGGGTGTGTGTATTCCAGGCCTTCGATGGTGGACTTGGTCCTTTTGGTGAATGCCTTGTAGAAATCCTGTTCAAGGTCCTGCTTGTCCTTGTCAACCATGGGGGATGTGGCCAGGAGGGAGAGAACTCCGTTCATACTCTGGAGGAAGTTGCCGGTGGCAACACTCTCCCTGATTGCCAGGGTAAACACAGAATGTGCATCTTGACCCGTAAGCCTAATACACTGGTCAAACAAACCCACATTAACCTGCTGGAGGTCTGAGTACTTCAACACACAGTACGGTTTGATTGAGCCTCGTTTCTTCATCTTGTGAACGCTCCTATCTGAACCGTCTTTGCCCACATCGGTCTTCCAGGCAAAAGCTGAGTCTGACTGGTGTCTGGCATGGGTCATCCAGGGAGGTCGTGAACTTGACTTGGACTGGAGTGATGAGTCGGACACAAAGTAAATCCCCCTTGTGCTGAGCATGACCAGCGTTGGGATCTCCATCTTTGGGTTGCTGTAAGGTACAACATTTGTCCAGAGAACGTGGTGCAGCTCCTCCATGAGACCTCCCCGATCTGGGGAAGTCTTCCCTGCTATGACAGTGTGGAAGAATGTTGCCAAGTCTCTTCCATCCATTAGAGCAAACGGTTTCAGCTTTGTGGGGAGAGAATGAATCAGCTTGTAATCCCTGATACACATCTTCAAATGGCATTCTAGCTCACCACTGAGGTAGGCCATCACTAGCGAATCTATTTCACCGATATTCAAGTCTACAGATGAATAAATAGCCTCTTTTGTAGTATGCTTCTTCACTGAAGCATAGTGCACAGGGTTATCACTTGTAACAGGTTCAGGTGGGTGGGATGTTTGAATCTTAATCTCAGGAGGTAAAGTTTTTACACTGGTGTGTGTCTTGGACACATAATATTTGCTCATGTCAAAACTGGATGGTAAGGAGCTTGCTGTCGGCAGCTTAGCAATTCTGTGTGGGTCTGGGGGATGCACAAGTTCATTCCCTCCCTCGGGTTCTTCTCGCAGTGTGGGTGACATCCGGTGGGCGTGCTCTGCCCGAAGGTTTGTCAGTCTGTCAAGGTAAAAATCCCGCGAGGAGGTGGAAGGGAAGAGAACATCAAACAGTTTGGGTCCTGCAGTTTCATGGAAAATCATAGACAAGCCAAATTCAGCAAATCTGACATTCGTTTCTCTCATCTGTGACTTCGAAGTTTTAACTTTACTCACTGCACTGTACATGCTGATGTTGCTGATTCTATCTGTTATTGGTTGGTTCTGCATCACCCCAATCTGAAGCATCTCCTCAGACTCTGCCTCAAAGGAGGGCAGCGGCCAGTAGATACAGTCAATGTCTATCAGGTAAACTCTGTTCTCTGACAGTACAAGCAAGCATCTTGTGTGGGAAGGTTTGGCTATAACAACACAGGAATAAACAATGCGATCAGAGGAAGAACCAAATTTGTCTTCCATATTGAAAATTTGACGAGAAATATCAGAATCACATGACAAATCTAAGATCTCTGGAGCATTCAAACTTTTCAGACTTTCACAGTTTAATTTGAAAGACTCTACAAATGTTTTCAAGACTGAAGGGTCCAGCCCTATCAGAATGAAGGTGCCCATCTTCCCAACAAAGGATTCCTCAAGTTTCACATAAGCCAGACAACAACCCAGAACAATCTGCTGGATATTGCACATAGGGAGGATGTAGAAGGGTTCAAAGTCAGGCACACCGGGCAACCCTGAGTCAAGGTCTGTCAGTCTCTCAATGAAAATCTTACTCTTAGTCAACACAGCACAGCAAGAGAAAAACACAGTCGGATTAGAGTATTGCACAGCGTTACACCACAGGATGTCCAATATGTTCTCCTGAGTGCTCTCCCTTGATGGACTTCCTCCTCCAATCAGGTGCTTCTGCAGCCAGTTCAGGAACTCTGTGTTTGCTCCAGATGGAAGATCTGCATAGTTGATCACAGTCGACTTGCTGCTAGATAAGAAAAGAAACAACACAACAGACATGTTAACTATCTTTCATACTAGGTGAGATGAGGTGAGGTGAGGTGAGGTGAGGTGAGGTGAGGTGAGGTGAGTGAGTGAGTGAGTGAGTGAGTTTGGTTTTACGCCGCTTTTAACAGTATTCCAGTTATATCATGGCGTGTCAGCTTAATGTGGAAGGAAAGCCCAAAGTGATGCAGGTTTCACACCACAAACCACAGATCAAGCTTTTTGGAAAACAAGGGATGCACTTAACATCCTACATGCAAACAGTTAAAAATAATAATCTATGTTTGGTAGCTGCATTATTTTTGTTGATGCATATCTACAAAACTTGTTTTCTCTGTTTACACTTTGTTGCCTAGATTTATACATGTTTAGCATGCTTCATAATGAGAGAGTTTGCATCCCTCTCTCTCTTTATCCGTGTATAATCACAGACTGTCAGCTTCATCATGTTAATGTGGAAGTAACGTCACAGGGAGGCACAGTGTAGATAAGTTTGGTCAGACCGTTCAGCATAGGTGCCAAACAAGCATCACACTCAGGGTAAATCTGAGCTTCAAACCCACTCACTACAGATCCTTGCACATCTAAGAGCAACCATGCTTGCAAAAGGCGACTATGCTTGTCGTAAGAGGCGACTAACGGGATCGGGTGATCAGGCTCACTGACTTGGTTGATGGTTCTGATGGTTTAACTGCAACGAAACCGACCAGATCAATCTCATTAAAATCAAATCTTAGTTCTCGCTTCCGCTAAACAAAGATCTGAGGACATCCCATTACGGGTCATGTCCGACTGACTTTGACCGGACAATGGATTGACGAATCAGAAGGGACCTTTCTCGTGCTTTACGGCACTAATTTCAAATTGGCGACTGGTGGACTGGCAACTGGCAACCAGTCACTACTATTTTTTGTCAGTCCGAACTTTCAACAAATGAAAAAAGGTATGAAAATTACCTGGTTTTAATTCCATCAACATCATGTTTAATGTAATGACGTTATCTCTGAAGTAACTTAGTTAGATCTACACGTCATTCACACAAAGTCCAGTCACGAATTTCTCCTTTTTTTTAATATTACGTGACTAAGTCGCTAAAAATAAATAATTAACCTCGAAGCAAGGCAAAATGTTATTTCCTTGCACTATAATTGACAAGAGGAAACCCTGATGGTGACAGACCAGCTGATTTATTTAGAAAAAATATACTTATATGATTATCGCCGATGTTTTGTTCAACAACAAAGATTTATAAGGTACTCTATTTGCCGGTCCACAGGGACTTGGCAGTCACATGAATTCTCGGTCCAAGCCTAATTTTACCGGTAAAAAACTGGTACTGGGTAATTACCGGTAAAAGGGAAAACTGCCTTAATCTGCAGATATGTGGCTGCTCACAGCACACAATGGAAACAATGAATACACAATGCCATTTAGAAAGTGGTCAAATGTAACAAATGTTATATTTGGGATAACACTTTCTTAGTAAAGTACAGATTCTCGTACTTTTTGGGGTTGAGTCCCGTCCGGGATTCGAACCCACACTTGCCAGAGTGAGGTACCTAATCGCCAGCACACTAAGTCTGCGATCTAACCCACTCAGCCACCGAGGCTTCCACAAAAATGAAAGTCAGACAACTGGTAGTCTAGATCACGTACTTTGAGTACACCTCTGACAAGTGTAAATTGGCACAACTCCCATGGCCGAAAGCTATGAATACACAATGCCATTTAGAAAGTGGTCAAATGTGACAAATGTTATATTTGGGATAACACTTTCTTAGTAAAGTACAGATTCTCGTTCCTTTTTGGGTTGAGTCCCGTCCGGGATTCGAACCCACACTTGCCAGAGTCAGGCACCTAATCGCCAGCACACTAAGTCAGCGATCTAACCCACTCAGCCACCGAGGTTTCCACAAAAATGTAAGTCCGACAACAAAGTCAGGGACTTTGGGACTCAACCCAAAAAAGTACGAGAATCTGTACTTTACTAAGAAAGTGTTATCCCAAATATAACATTTGTTACAATAGAAACAATGTTTAAGGATTCCTTTCCCCTACAGTAGGTCTTGCAGAGGTGTGTATCTTTCATGTGTCTGCAGATTGGTGTGCATGTGCTTCTCAACACTTCAACAATGTCAGTGAAAGGATAATGCTATTACCTACGTTTTGTCAGAGGGAGGCTGGATGCTTTTATCACCAGTTTCCCCGCTGCCAATTGCGAACAGCCTCTCTCCTGGTGCCTTGTCTATTGGCTGTATATCATTGTCAGCTGGTTGTTTATCATTGTCAGCTGGTTGTTTATCATTGTTATCTGGTTGTTTATCATTGTCAGCTGGTTGTTTATCATTGTCAGCTGGTTGTTTATCATTGTCAGCAGGTTGTTTATCATTGTTATCTGGTTGTTTATCAATGTCAGCTGGTTGTTCATCATTGTCAGCTAGCTGTTTATCATTGACAGCTGGCTGTTTATCATTGTCAGCTGGCTGTTTATCTTTGTCAGCTGTGTTTATGAAGTGTTTCGTATCTGCAGCTGACGTGACTGTACTCAGCTGTGGCATATCAGGGGAAGACAAGGTGGGTTCCTGGAAAATAATGATAAAGAGATAGTCAAATAGTATTAATAAGTGTCGTCATGATGCTTTTTTTAGCCTAAATGGCTCCTTAACCTTTTGATACAAGTAGTTTTTACATACAGAGGGTCCATGACTGACAATGAAATAAGTGATTACAGAAAAAATTATCAGAACTTCAATTGTTCTTTCAGGCGCTTAAAGCACATACATGAAGATCTGGGTTCGAACTTAACTTCAGCAACTCATTCTTGTCATAAGAAGCAAACAACAGGATCTGGTAGTCAGACTCGCTCACATGGTTGATGCATGTCATCGTATCCCAATTGCGTAGATCGATGTTCATGATGTCAAATACTGGACTGTCTGGTCCGGACTCGATTACTTACAAACCGCCGCCATACAGCTGGAATATTGCTCAGGGCGGAAATAAACAACAAACAAAACTAACAAACTTAAAGGACACATGATGAAGTTGGTGATCAACCTGCTGTGTGAAGGTGGTGAGGCCATCAATCTGCTCATATCTGCTGATCCCCATCTGTGCTAATCTTGTAGGGGGGCTGCTGCTGGAGAGGTCCATCGGAGGACTGTTCCTCATCCCCATCTCTTCTGGCCTAGATGACGGACTGCTACTTTGCCCTTCATCTTCAGCTCTTGTTACTTGGCTGCTTATGGGCCCGGGATGTGCTGGTCCGGTGAGGGAGCTGTGAGTCAGCCCTGCCTGTTCAGCTCTTGTTACAGGGCTGCTAACTGGCCCGGGATGTGCTGGTCCGGTGAGGGAGCTGTGAGTCAGCCCTGCCTGTTCAGCTCTTGTTACAGGGCTGCTAACTGGCCCGGGATGTGCTGGTCCGGTGAGGGAGCTGTGAGTCAGCCCTGCCTGTTCAGCTCTTGTTACAGGGCTGCTACCTGCCCCGGGATGTGCTGGTCCAGTGAGGGAGCTGTGAGTCAGCCCTGCCTGTTCAGCTCTTGTTACAGGGCTGCTAACTGGCCCGGGATGTGCTGGTCCGGTGAGGGAGCTGTGAGTCAGCCCTGCCTGTTCAGCTCTTGTTACAGGGCTGCTAACTGGCCCGGGATGTGCTGGTCCGGTGAGGGAGCTGTGAGTCAGCCCTGCCTGTTCAGCTCTTGTTACAGGGCTGCTAACTGGCCCGGGATGTGCTGGTCCGGTGAGGGAGCTGTGAGTCAGCCCTGCCTGTTCAGCTCTTGTTACAGGGCTGCTAACTGGCCCGGGATGTGCTGGTCCGGTGAGGGAGCTGTGAGTCAGCCCTGCCTGTTCAGCTCTTGTTACAGGGCTGTTACCTGCCCCGGGATGTGCTGGTCCCGTGACGGAACTGCTACTTAGTTCGGACCTGAACATTGGGCTGCTACTAAGACCAGCCTGTTCTGTTCTTGACAAGGGGCTGCTACTAAGACCAGCCCGTTCTGTTCTTGACAAAGGGCTGCTACTAAGCCCAGTATGTTCTGGCCTAAAGAAGGGGCTGCTGCTGAACCCATTATAAGATGAACACAGAGGGGATCCAGATAATGCTTGTGTGCTGCCATGTCTTAGATCTACTGAAAAAGGAAACATAAATTTTATATTAGTAAAATCTAAATATTTTTAAAATTTGTATACTAATTCTGCAATACCACATTAACTGCTTTCTTTTGACAGAAAAACAAAGCTGTTTGAGGTCCAGCTGAAAGAATTTATTCAGACCCTCCACAGTGCCCACGAAAGTGCCGAGGTCACGTATCTACACATTACTGCAACAGTTGGGCAACTTTAAATGTCGTAATGCAGGATAATTAAACAAATGTAAAAAACATTTAGATTTGACTAAAAATTTTAAATTATGCTACATTACTCTTCAATGCATCTTTGTCAGAGGGAAACAGAGAAGGGCATAACTTCAGATGTGATGTTCAAGAAACCCTTGTTAAAAAGTCCAGATAACCATCACAGCATTCATGCAATAAACGGAACCATGTGACCATTCAAAGCTAATGCTTGCAGCTTGTACGCCTTCATGTCTGGGGTGAAAAATTAACACCAGTGAGTTTGGAAGGCCAGCTCCGGCCTCTGGAGAAATTAATGTTGTTTGGGGTTGTGACCTGTTGGGCGACCACCATGGTACCAAAACTGTCAACGCCCTCAACGTCCTCCATGGCCACATCCCGCATGTAGTGGCTGTCTCATTTCTAGAAGCATCCTTCCATGATGGATCTGATGGAGCTGTTGCTGTGGAGAGCAATGGTGGAGGCAAACACTCAGATGTCGTGTTACGACTGACTTTTGTTCTAGATCTTCAGAAAAAACCTCGTCAAAGGTCCAGGTAACCATCAAAACATCATTTGCGTTGATCGGAAACCAGGGGAACATTCCTGCCAGAGGATGGTCGAGCGTATGAGGAATGTAGGAAGGCCCAGGTAAAAGACAGCATAAGTCTAAGACTGACTTACCGAGCCAATGCTTGTAGCATAGAAACCTCCCGACCTGGCATGAGAAACACTGCGAGAGTTGGAAAAGGCCAGCTCTGGACAACTGGAGAATTTCAATGTCATCTGGGATGTGTGATCTGCTAAGCAGCAATCAGAGGGCCAAAACTGTGTACGCCTCTGACGCTTTCCAAGGCTGTGTCCCTCAGGTAGGTAATGGCTTGCAAAGGTCTCCAGAAACATCCTTCCAGGCTAGATCTGGTGGAGCAATTGCTGTAGAAAGCCATCATAGAAGCGACCCCCTGGATCTCATGAGGGCTGTAGGTCCTCGGAGGATCATGGCCAATGGCCTCATAAGCATGAAGGTCGACTGTGCATAACCATAAGGATAATGCGATATGACTGACTTCTGTCGTGGATGTCCTGGAGACGTTTCTGGGCAGCACATTGAGTTTTAGATACACACCCTAAGTGCACGAACTGGGCACAGAAGGAGTTCCATCTCATCTTCAGCACCCACTATCGAGGAGAGTGGTGGGATGGCAAAGGACCTGTCAGGCTGTCCTGAGAGTTGATTCTTGGCAATGAAGTCCCAGCACAGACCAAGGTGAACGGCGCCCTACACTCAAATCGGACCTAGGTGAGGTTGAGAGCATGCAGCACGCTAACCCTTGCCACGGCAGATGGAGCCAAGAGGTTTAAGAAGGAATCTGAGTGGATAGACTCAATCGGAGGACCACACAGAAACCTGAGAACCACGTTCAGATCCCAAACAAGAGGTCTGAACCTGGCCATCTGAAGGAGCGCAGCAAAGCTTGCAGGTCTGGAATCTTGGTCATTTTATGATTCTCCAGACCTGCCAACCCTGAGTTAATGGCCACCAGGAAGGTAGTGATGGTCTTGAAGTGCTGTCTGCTGTGCAGCAACATAAGTAATTCAGCCATGAACTGATGGGACCCTCAAGTGGGATCCTGATATTTCTCCTTGCTAAAGGAATCAATGAACGCCACTTGTCATCATAAGAGTCCACTGGTTGCGCAGACACCAAACCACAGTGATATCGTCTGTTGATATGGCTAACATAGCGTTCTGGAGATGGTTTCGCAAGTGGCATACTGTCAGAATGAGCGCTTCCAATTCCAACTTGTTTATATGCACTGTGCGCTGATCATGGGACCACAGACCTGAGGTTGTCTTGACCTCCAGATGAGCGCCCCAACGCTGTAGAGATTCTTCCTAAGACATACCTAAGACTGCACCATCCACCACAGGAGATGAGGTTTGAGGTCCGATTGGGTGCAGCCGGAGGCGTCCCCTTGATGTCAGATCCTGTATCATCATGAGCAGCCCCAGAAGCATTTGCCACTGGCAAAGTGTAAGCGGCTGATGAACTGCCGGTAGCCCATTTAGGTCAGGATATCTACAAGACTGTAAAGTTAAAAAGCCAACTTTAGGTGTTTCCAAGTTCTGTGTTGAATACATGACGCCTGGTCATGTCCTGTGAACAATGAACCTGAGAGATACCCGGTAGCATATTACAAATCTGTCAAATGTCCAATCGATCATGAATGTGATGGTCTTCAAGTTTTGCAACATATCATGTCTACCTGAAGTAACACAAAATAAATTCTATGAGAGTACTATCGCCCTCTCTGTGGAAGCGTCTGCAAAGGCTAAGGCCAAGGGCGCCTGTAAAGGCTCAGGCGGCACATGCTGGAAGGGCATCTGTGCAGATGGGAAACCAGATGGCAGATCAAATCCCAGAGGCACCATGTAGATGCTCAGAGATGCTGACGGTAGCTAATACCTTGGGCAAGCGTTGTCATCTGGGAAGTCAGAGGGATGTAGGCATCAGCTGCGGGGACATTGACTGCTGGAACATGGACTACAGAAATATCTGCATCCAGGACGAGTCAATGTATGGTGCCTGTAAATGATGAGGCCGCGCTTCCTGGAAAGACATCTGTAGGTGCTGAGGGTGCTGTGTAGCTGCTCAGAGGCGCTGAAGATACGTGATGAGCCTGGGTAAGAGCTGTCATCTCGGAGGTTGGCGGCGCCAAGGGTGGCGCCAGCACCTGGGTGGTCATGGAAGTGTCTATCGTCCTCTCCTTGGATGCATCTGTATAGTCGTTGGCACCTGTGTAGTCATCAGGAGTAGGTAAATGCTCAATTGTTGACAAGCAGTTGAAGGATTCTCTTGGGAGTCAGATATCTTAGTGTGTCTGCCTGCCTGCTGCGTACGGCTCTTCCTCAGTACCCTCAGGTACTTTTTGAAGGCTGTAGGAGAGAGGGGAGAGCAAGAGCTACACTTATCAGCTTCTGCACAGGGATCGGTGCAATCCAAACACAAGGGGTGAGGATCCCTGCCTGACTTGTTACCTAGGCACTTAATGCAATGGGGCATAAATCTGCAATTTAAGCAGAGGCGGTAATCATAATGTGTACAAAACAACGAGGAGAAATGACACTGACACACGAGAATTCAAAGAATTCAAAATGGCTGATTGAGACAGCAATCTGCATGATATTTACCGTGACTAATAGCCACTTCCAAACGCAACATATTAATTCAATGGCACACATTAATGGCAAGACATGAAGTCACAAGACATTGGAAGGTTATAAATCAGAAGTAGAATATACAACAACACAAAGGATGTCAGCAGATAGCTGGAACAAAGTTCAAACACAACAGTGATGTGCAGAAACCTGATGTCAGCACTTCCATGGTCACATGGGCACTGTGGAGGGTCTGCCTCACAACAGGTTGGTTTTTTTCGGCTGGACCTCACAGAGCTTTGTTTTAGTCGAAAGAAAACAGTAAAATGCATTAAGGAATAACACAGGATAAGTTAAAAAAATTACTCTTTTGGTTCATGACGAAGATATCAGAAATGCTAAAGGAAAGAAGTAAAATATATAGAAACAATATATTTTTGAATGCTAACATTTGAACATGTGACAGTACTGAAGGGTGGGACAATGTTATACATATCCTCCCTAAGCTCCAAGAGGGAACTAATATATGACAGATTGGATCTTACATGTCATTTGGCATGGCATCAGACAGGTCCGTGTCAATAGATGCGCCAATAAACGAGTGGCTACCACTGACCTCTTAATTATGTCTATTCATTCCTACAATCTTACCACTAAATCACAAACTGATTCTCAACACACCCTTCAGCGAAAACTATATTTGTATATAAATGTATAAAAAACTATGTCAAACTAGACCTGTTTGTGTGCCTTACAGATCAAGTGAGTGAGTGAGTGAGTGAGTGAGTGAGTGAGCAAAGGAGTGTGTGAATGCCAGGGTGATTGAGTGCCAGAGTGAGTAACAGTGTGAGTGAGACAATATCAGGGTGAGTGCTAGAGTGAGTGAGTGAGGGCCAGTGTGAGTGAAAGAATTCCAGTGTGAGTGCTAAAATGAGTGAGACATACCTGTGTGAGTGAGACATACCTGTGTGAGTGAGACATACCTGTGTGAGTGAGACATACCTGTGTGAGTGAGACATACCTGTGTCAGTGAGACATACCTGTGTCAGTGAGACATACCTGTGTCAGTGAGACATACCTGTGTGAGGGCTGCAGTGAACAGGGGCCAGTGTGAGTGAAAGAATTCCAGTGTGAGTGCTAGAGTGAGTGAGACATACCTGTGTGAGTGAAAGAATTCCAGTTGGTGTGCTAGAGTGAGTGAGACATACCTGTGTGAGTGAGAGAATACCAGTTGGTGTGCTAGAGTGAGTGAGACATACCTGTGTGAGTGAAAGAATTCCAGTGTGAGTGCTAGAGTGAGTGAGACATACCTGTGTGAGTGAGAGAATACCAGTGTGACTGACTGCCAGATTGATCGAGTGTCAGATACTGAAGAAAATCTGACACCTTGAACTTTTTAGTGTCTTTCCTAACAGAAAAGATACATCTATCTACAATTTTGATAAGTCCCGTTTGTTGATTAATGGTGCATTCGGACCATTAGTCACATCATGATGAGGACGAGTTGCTGATCATGAAGACCAACCCTAACCCTGATCTTCAAGGGGGTTTGATAAGTCTAAAGATTCAAACAGTCAAACTTTCTTGCATCCAACATGTTTCACAGTTCAAATTATCCATTCATATTTATGTACTCATATAAGCACAATATTTTGAATCCAGAAACACCCTGGCATGTCAGCTTGGTGGGGGAGCAAAGCCCACAGTGATGTTGAGATGTATTTACCATTTAGCCATAAGTATGGGCATGGTGCCGATCATGCCCACTGCAAATCTAGGGCTGCATTTATAGCACAGTGTCTCAGACCACTGAGCCCCAGGAGGTAGATCAGGTATCCGTGGATTTGTCTACCGGTAAGGATTCAAGTAACTCAGTGTTAAATACCCATTCATGGTGTCAGTGCAGGAATATGTCAACTGCCTTAAATGTCTCATCCAGAAGTTCCTCGTCCAATGTAGGAATACTGAGTGAGTGAGTGAAGGGGATTTAAACCATATATGCCACCTTCAAAATGTAGGGAAGCCAGTGGTCGATAGTGAGAGCCTCTGATCAGGGTGTGATCACACACTAACACAGCCAGGCTACACATCAGAGTTGTCCACCACCATTATTCAACTCTCCGGCCAAGTAGTAGCCATTAGGGTCACTTCATCACTGTGGTCGAGGAATTCATATCTCAATCGTGTCAGTATGTAACACACAATGCCATTTAGAAAGTGGTCAAATGTAACAAATGTTATATTTGGGATAACATTTTCTTAGTAAAGTACAGATTCTTGTACTTGTTTGGGTTGAGTCCTGTCCGGGATTCAAAACCACACTGCCAGAGTGAGGCACCTAATCGCCAGCACACAAAGTCAGCGATCTAACCTACTCAGCCACTGATGCTTCCACAAAAATGAATGTCCAACAACTGGTAACCTAGGTCACATTCTTTGTGTACCCCTCTGACAAGTGTAAATTGGCACAGCTCCAATAGCCGATGCCATGAACACACAATGCCATTCGGAAAGTGGTAAAATGTAACAAATATCCCAAATATAATATGTTACGGTGTCAGTATAGTTTCATCAATTTTGCAATATTCAAATCATTTTGTTCCGAAGCCCCCCCCCCACACACACCCACGCCCAAATCTTTCACACATTGTACCTGTGATGGCGATTGAATCTCTGTCAAAACATGATGAACACACACTAAGGGTACCTACCCCACAGCCCGATTCTCCACAGGATTATGCACTCCCATGAAACTTGGGAGTGCAAGTGATGGTGGACAAGCATACCGTTGTTAGTATGTATAAGGGAATAAAACACCATACCTCTGAAGTGTACCTCTACATAACACAAAAGAAAGCTGATAGCAGTTTGTGACAGCGCAGTCATTCTGTCAAGGCTCCCGAAGCTAGCATGCAGTGTACAGAGGAGGGTGAGATACATACTTGATTACCTGAGGATGGGGAAGTTGTGCCATTTCTGGCTTCCCCCGACAGGTTGGGGGGAGTCCTACTGTATTCAGAGTCTGTTAAACTTGCACTGGAGGCCGTCTAGGAAGCATACAATCCATTTGTTAGCATATTCACAGGGAGGTGTGAGAAGTTAAGCAAAAACAACCCAAATCTCAGGCAATGACTCAAAACTTATCCTGTTGATAGGCAAGACCTGTTTCTTTTCTAGTTTCAGCTGTTAGTGGTCACAGTATCAACCGACCGGGGGTAAAGAAATACTTACTATAAAAAAGTCTCATTTGATGTTAATTATCAGAAACACCAGACATGAAAATTTAAGCAAAATAAAATATGATAAAAAAAAAAAATTACATCAAACATATTCGACCATTTTACAAAATTTAGGTTAGGCTTGTCTATAAAACAAAAAAGAAAACATAGATTGGTCTGACTGAACATCAAGAGTTGAAATGTTCATGTTCAGTATAAAAGCAGATAGAAAATGTTTCTTTGATGTGGATGTTGTTACCACTGCAGAATCGAGAGCTGGACAAACAGAACAGGGTCCAGGCAGACTGGTATGTTAGTGTAGGTGATTATTTACAGTAGGCGGCTTATTGTTTGCCAGAAATTTCATGCATCATCATAATAATTCCTGCTTGTGAGCTCAACCTGGTCACTGTATAGGGTCACAATAATTGCAAGTAAAGGCTACAAACATAGGGAAATGGTTATGCAAAATTCAAATGGTAATAACCTGATTTGATACCCAATTTAAACATTAATAAAATATTTTAAATTTTAAAGAATTGTCCAAGTTAATTGGAACTGATGCATCATGTAAAGACGTGTTTTTAGCATTCTATTCAGGATCATGAATGCCAAGTATTGACAACCAGCCATACAAGCAGAATAAAGGGGAATAACTCCCATATGCTTCCAAGGGGAATAACTCCAACATGCTTGCAGCCCTTCACCAGCCTCATCCCCATGTTTTCCAGCGTGTCGGCAAGCTTACTGACCTTTTTAGGGGTGAGCCTCTTCACCTTGTCCTTGTTGTCGCGGGCCTTCTGGAGAGCCTGCAACACGGCCACTGTGTCCAGCTCCTTCTGGCTCGGCTTCTGCTTGTCCAGCACCACCTGCACATAATGTCATGGGTTGTCACGTATAGTCATGTACTGATGTCATGGGACGTCACATAGTCATGTCATTTACTGATGTCATGGGATGTCATGTGCAGCCATGCCATGTACTGATGTCAAGGGACGTCACATAGTCATGTCATTTACTGATGTCATGGGTTGTCACGTATAGCCATGTCATGTACTGATGTCATGGGACATCACGTAGTCATGTCATGTACTGATGTCATGGGACATCACATAGTCATGTCATGTACTGATGTCATGGGTTGTCACATACAGCCATGTCATGTACTGATGTCATGGGATGTCACGTAGTCATGTCATGTACTGATGTCATGGGTCGTCACATACAGCCATGTCATGTACTGATGTCATGGGACGTGACATAGTCATGTCATGTACTGATATCTTGGGACGTCACGTCCCATGTCAAGCACTATTATCATTAAGACTAACAGTATTTGTTATGTCATCCTGTACCTACCTCATTGACCCGGTCCCCAAACACCTCAAGGACCTTGGTCCGGTAGTCCAGCACGATGGTCACTGGGTTGCCAGTCAACAGCAGGTTTTCCAAACATGGCAGGCCACCGATAGGCTTAATATCAGACACCTGGAGACAACATCATAACGTCTTTGTTACCACATTTGCTAACTTGCTGTCAGCTGGGCAAACCACAAACAGGCTTTACATCAGAGGTCAAGAGTATCACAGAGTATTGAAGTGCAATGATACACAACTCAGCTGGTTGAACCACTCCAACAGCACTAGTGGTGCTAGGCTGCTTCAACTGCACATGAAGTTGTTTAAAGATAAGGGACCAAAGAATAAATTATTTGTCCTCATCACTTCTCACAACGGAGGTGCCAAACAATTTCTTTCAACCAAAATGCACTATTTTTCAGAGCATCCAGCATTTCTAGCCTTTGTAAAACCTTATGAAAATATTTTTTCAGCAAACTTGTGAACTGATAATTAAATGTTTATCCACTTAGCAAAAGGAGAGCTTGTTACAATATACATGTTTATGAGGCAATGTCTTACCTGTCCAATTTCATTGTTGCTAACGTCAAGAATCTCCAGGCTAAACAACTTTGAAAATCCTGTAAAATGAGAAGACATATTCCAGTAACTGTAAAATGAGAACACATATTCCAATTACTGTAAAAAAAGACATATTCCAATATTGTAAAATAAGAACACATATTCCAATAACTGTAAAATAAGAACACATATTCCAATAACTGTAAAATAAGAACACATATTCCAATAACTGTAAAATAAGAACACATATTCCAATAACTGTAAAATAAGAACACATATTCCAATAACTGTAAAATAAGAACACATATTCCAATAACTGTAAAATAAGAACACATATTCCAATAACTGTAAAATAAGAACACATATTCCAATAACTGTAAAATAAGAACACATATTCCAATAACTGTAACATGAGAACACATATTCCAATAACTGTAACATGAGAACACTTATTCCAATAACTGTAACATGAGAACACTTATTCCAATAACTGTAAAATAAGAACACATATTCCAATAACTGTAACATGAGAACACATATTCCAATAACTGTAAAATAATAGCTTAAGTTTCAGAGGTGTAAGCATACAACCTATCCAACACTTGCTGCATTAAACAAACACTGTTAATCCTTTACCATAACCAGTGTTCACATTGAAGGGGGATCCAGGGGTGCTCATGATCTTCTCCTATTACTTGAATCTATGGACCCCAAAATCTTTACCTTGTAACATTAGGGACATGACACGGACCCCTTGACTTTCATGCTAAATTTCGAACACTGACTACCCTTTCTCCCCGGGGCGACTTGCACAAAGAGCTCTTAGCGCTATGATTATTGAAAGTCTATGTTAAAGTATGCTAGTTACGATCGTCGTAGCGCTACGGTCGCTTTGTGCAAGTGGGCCCTGCTCTCCTGTTCCTACGATGTCCTACAACTGCCTACCCTGCAGGCTCCCAAGCTTGTTGCCAGCCAGCTTGAGGGTCTTCAGGTTGCCCAGCTTGGTGTGCAGGGAGTCCAGGTTGTGGATGTTGTTGTGGGAGATGTCGAGGAAGGTGAGGTGGCTGAGCCACTGTAGATGTTGGATGCTTGTCAGCTGGTTGTGACTGAGGTCCAGATGCTCCACCTTCGGCATCAGTTGCTGCAACATCATCAGTGTGGATTGATTGTTTGTAGTTATAATGCTGCACTCAGCAATATTCCAGCCATATGACGGCAGTCTGTAAATAATCAAGTCTGGACCAGACAATCCAGTGATTGATGTGATGAGCATCTATCCACGCAATTGGGATACGATGACATGCATCAACCAAGTCAGCGAGCCTGACTACCCGATCCCGTTAGTCGTTGTTTGTTTGTTTGTTTGTTGTTTAACGCAGCACTCAGCAATATTCCAGCTATATGACGGCTGTCTGTAAATGATCAAGTCTGTACCAGACAATCCAATGATTCACAACATGAGCCTCAATATTTTACCAGTTGCACTCAGGGCAGTCTGATTATAAACTAAGGCTGGATTAGCCGATTTTAACCAGGACCAATGCAGTCTTGTCAAGGGGAAATCACACCCTGTGAAACATCCAAATCAGGTAAGTCTGGGATTGAACCCCAAATAAGCAGATCCTGGTTCAACTCCTACTCACCACACTGTCGTCAATGTCAACAATGAAGTTGTGGCTCATGTCGGCCTCCTCCACAAGCTCCCAGTACGACACCAGCAGAGTGCCATCCTCCCCGCGCCAGGCTGGAATGTCTTGAAGGAGGAATTCCTGCAATTAACACATGTCTCCACATGTATAATTTCCTCAAAGGTGAACATTATAATATCCAAATGCCTTGACACTACAAATAACAGATAAGACATCACAAGCCAACATTCTTGCAATCTCTCAATTTTTGTGGCACTATTTGACTTGTAATCACCTTGGCGTAACAGACTAGAGGCTATGGCATTAGTTCATCACACTTTCCCATTACCTGGATCAACAACACAAATGGAAGTGCAGGAGAAAACGTTTAACTCTGCAGCCAGCAATATTCCAGCCACATCATGGCAGCCTGTAAGTGAGTCCGTCCCACGCAAACAAGTGACTGAAAGCATGAACATCTAGAAAGGTGTTTGTATTAAACAAACAGAAGCAGACCCCTCCTTAACTTTTCCTGAATTCTTTAAAATTGTGCATCAAGCTCCCTTTGTTATGAGCTCTTCCAGCTTAATGAGTGAGTGAGTGAGTTGGGTTTAACGCTGCTTTTAACATTATTCCAGTTATATCATGGCGTGTCAGCTTGATGTGGGAGGAAAGCCCGAAGCGATGCAGGTCTCAGACATTTACCACTTTGGTGAAACCCACGAGCACGAGTATGGTGCTGACAAACCTAGAAACATAATCGGGGTGATCCGGAATTCGAACCCACAATCATAGGTTTCTGGCATGTCCAGGGGACGCAACTCTGCACAGCGAATCGCCGCGCCTTAGATGATTGGGCCACCCGTGCCCCCTCCAGCTTAATGAAATCACAAACATGCCCATGCGGTACAACTTGGAAACAGAAAGTCCACTGCCTCAGGAACTTCAATGAAGGTCACTCAAAAGCCAACCAATTCAGTGCCCAGCCCTAAGGATAATCTGCACAGAATTCCATTATATTTCAGCAAACGCTTTTTGGGTTATCACAAATATAATACATTTTTAGTTTATGACCTTGCGAATGAATTTGACCTTCAATACTAGAGGCAAGCATTTCAAGTACAATCCAAAGAAGTGTCCTGCATACAAACCAGACACGATGTCCCTAGGCAGACTTCAACATAACAACAACAAAAAAGCAAATTCTCCTCCCTGAACGCTGCTCACAGTGGCCATACACTGATGTCATTAGATTGTCATCACTTGTCATACATAATTATTCAAACAATAGAGCTTTAAAAATATCTGCAGAAAAAGGCATTTTATTAGGCCTTTCACAACATTTCCACCTATCCATTTAGTCAAATCTAATTCAAAGTATAGGAAACTAGGGACCTATTCGAGTCTGGGATCCCCAAGGGGGCTCCGAGTCACAGAATCTGCCCGCCTAATCCCCTTCATAGTCGTCTCTTCCAACAAGTAGGAGGTCATGGGGACCCAGAGAAACCACAGGAGCAACAAGTATTTGTGAAAAGTTACCCACTCGTATTGTTTTAGTTGATCTGCATAGCTGGAATTCCTTGAGTGTCTGTTTTATTGTTTCTAAGCCAACAATATTCCTTGGACTACAATTCAAAATCTGAAAACAAAAACATTATTAATCAGTTAATGTAAATAATTTAAAGAGCTAAATGCTCATGTGAAGCTGTAGCAATCATGAAAAATTTATCTGCTAACTAGAAACTCCACAAACATTAATGGAATATATGTGAGGATGTCGCTTTATTAGAGTGAGTGAGTGAGTGAGTGAGTGAGTGAGTGAGTGAGTGAGTGAGTGCGTGAGTATGGTTTTACGCCGCTTTTAGCAATATTCCAGCAATATCACAGCGGGGGACACCAGAAATGGGCTTCACACATTGTACCCATGTCGGGAATCGAACCCGGGTCTTCGGCGTGACGAGCGAATGCTTTAACCACTAGGCCACCCGACCGCCCCTCGCTGTATTAGAAACAGGAGCATGACCATGTGGTTGTTCATATCAAATAATCTTGGCTTGTATGTGTCAATGTCTGAGACTCACCTCTAAATACTGTATCGACTTGAACAATGTGAGATCAAATGTAAGCTGGTTCATATCAATATTGCTGGAACCAACTGACTCCTTGCTGCCACAGATCTGGAAGGGAGGTAACTCTGATATGAAAACTCTGAAGACATAAGTTGCAGTGTTGAAGATATTCGCTTTAACAAAAGATACAACTATACGAAGATCTGAGATTAAAAACATCAACATAGTTCTGACATTGCTAACACGTTCATTGAAATTAGGGAACGTACACAAACCAAGTATTTTCTTATTTAAGACTATAAAACACATTCCATTGGAGTAAACATACAGACTCTAAACATTGTGATATGTGCCTTGTTAAAACTGAGACACTTTGTGATATTGGGGTAGTCATGCAAGACTGATACACATGATACATACTCAATTAGCAGACATCAAGCTGGTCATAAGGGATTTTAATGCAACTTGCTGGGACTAGTAACCATTTAGATACTAATCCCCATGAAAGCTGGTACATCTCATACAACTGTCCAGACACTAATCACCCATGAAAGCTTGTACATCTCATACAACTGTCCAGACACTAATCCCCCATGAAAGCTGGTACATCACATACAACTGTCCAGACACTAATCCCCCATGAAAGCTGGTACATCTCATACAACTGTCCAGACACTAATCACCCATGAAAGCTGGTACATCACATACAACTGTCCAGACATTAATCACCCATGAAAGCTGGTACATCACATACAACTGTCCAGACACTAATCCCCCATGAAAGCTGGTACATCACATACAACTGTCCAGACACTAATCCCCCATGAAAGCTGGTACATCACATACAACTGTCCAGACACTAATCACCCATGAAAGCTGGTACATCACATACAACTGTCCAGACACTAATCCCCCATGAAACTGGTACATCTCATACAACTGTCCAGACACTAATCCCCCATGAAAGCTGGTACATCACATACAACTGTCCAGACACTAATCCCCCATGAAAGCTGGTACATCACATACAACTGTCCAGACACTAATCCCCCATGAAAGCTGGTACATCACATACAACTGTCCAGACACTAATCCCCCATGAAAGCTGGTACATCACACACAACTGTCCAGATACTAATCCCCCATGAAAGCTGGTACATCTCATACAACTGTCCAGACACTAATCACCCATGAAAGCTGGTACATCACATACAACTGTCCAGACACTAATCCCCCATGAAAGCTGGTACATCACATACAACTGTCCAGACACTAATCCCCCATGAAAGCTGGTACATCACATACAACTGTCCAGACACTTATCACCCATGAAAGCTGGTACATCACATACAACTGTCCAGACACTAATCCCCCATGAAAGCTGGTACATCACACACAACTGTCCAGACACTAATCCCCCATGAAAGCTGGTACATCACATACAACTGTCCAGATACTAATCCCCCATGAAAGCTGTTACATCTCATACAACTGTCCAGACACTAATCACCCATGAAAGCTGGTACATCACATACAACTGTCCAGACACTAATCCCCTATGAAAGCTGGTACATCACACACAACTGTCCAGACACTAATCCCCAATGAAAGCTGGTACATCACATACAACTGTCCAGACACTAATCCCCCATGAAGGCTGGTACATCTCACACAACTGTCCAGACACTAATCCCCCATGAAAGCTGGTACATCTCACACAACTGTCCAGACACTAATCCCCCATGAAAGCTGGTACATCTCATACAACTGTCCAGACACTAATCACCCATGAAAGCTGGTACATCACATACAACTGTCCAGACACTAATCCCCCATGAAAGCTGGTACATCTCATACAACTGTCCAGACACTAATCCCCCATGAAAGCTGGTACATCTCATACAACTGTCCAGACACTAATCACCCATGAAAGCTGGTACATCACATACAACTGTCCAGACACTAATCCCCCATGAAAGCTGGTACATCACATACAACTGTCCAGACACTAATCCCCCATGAAAGCTGGTACATCACACACAACTGTCCAGACACTAATCCCCCATGAAAGCTGGTACATCACATACAACTGTTCAGACACTAATCCCCATGAAAGCTGGTACATCTCATACAACTGTCCAGACACTAATCACCCATGAAAGCTGGTACATCACATACAACTGTCCAGACACTAATCCCCCATGAAAGCTGGTACATCACACACAACTGTCCAGACACTAATTCCCCATGAAAGCTGGTACATCACATACAGTATGGCTGATACACACCACCACCCCATCTGCTTACTTTGAGTCGCTTCATTCTTGTGATGAAGTCAAGGATGTGGCCAATGTCCTTCTTTACATCCCCACTTTCTGAAAATACACAGTTGACAGTGTTACTGGACCAGCCCCTACCGACTTAGGCTGGCATGTATAGGAGTCAGTGTTCAGAGTGTTACACAACTCTCTGGCTGCCACAGCATGCACAATGCAGAACTTGTTAATGTTTGGGAAAGATGAAGCTTTTTGTCAGTGGGAGACGCAGGTGTGCTTATATAAGTTTGTGAGATGTTAGCTGTACAGCAGTGAGTTGGGTTAACAGTCGCTTTAGTAATTCAGTTATGTGAGGTCCTGACAACTACCATTCTTGTAGGGCTGGGACGAGTCCAGATTATGTGTAGTGTTGATAAACCCATGTGTTGGGTATTGAGTTAATAAACCCATGTGTAGGCTGTTGAGTTGATAAACCCATGTGTTTGGTATTGAGTTAATAAACCCATGTGTAGGGTGTAGAGTTGATAAACCCATGTGTTTGGTATTGAGTTAATAAACCCATGTGTAGGGTGTTGAGTTGATAAACCCATGTGTAGGGTGTTGAGTTGATAAACCCATGTGTAGGGTGTTGAGTTAATAAACCCATGTGTAGGGTGCTGAGTTGATAAACCCATGTGTAGGGTATTGAGTTGATAAACCCATGTGTTGGTTATTGAGTTGATAAACCCATGTGTAGGGTGTTGAGTTAATAAACCCATGTGTAGGGTGTAGAGTTGATAAACCCATGTGTAGGGTGTTGAGTTGATAAACCCATGTGTAGGGTGTTGAGTTGATAAACCCATGTGTAGGGTGTTGAGTTGATAAACCCATGTGTAGGGTATAGAGTTGATAAACCCATGTGTAGGGTATTGACCTTTTTCACATTTCGCTACTTCCGGTTTGAAAGCAAGGTTTGGAGAGCAGAAGGTGAAGGCTGGATAGCACATGGAGATGTCAACAAGGCACGCAATCGGGACAAACTGTGACAATTAACCATCCATGTACATTTATCGTAAGTATTGAACAATGTTCTTATTCTTATCATTGACAAACTATTCTACTGTTATCTGGTCTCCTTACCGATATAAATTTGAGTCTGGCCGTTCTGTTGTGATTTCATTTTAAAATATCCATGGCCACCTGGTAACTCCCGGTGCAGTTTATGGTAGCTGAACAGACTAAATACAAATGCTACTGAGATCTTGTAAAGAATAATTCATTGTTTACACACCTTAAGCCAAACTATTTATTGTGAGTTTAAATAACTTTGCGGGTTGTACTTGAAGTCGAAATATTGACCTTTTGACTATATCTAGATATATATGTTAGAAACTAACTAAATTGATATGTTGATATAATGTATCAAATTGTAACCTACTGAGAATTTACAATCGTAATAAATCAGAATTTTGCATCAGTTGCGTATTTGATGTAAATTGTAATGGACTCAAATGCATTCCAATAAAATATTAGACCTCTAGATCTACTTGTGCTGTCGATATTGTGAAAGTTGTTATTTTGATTCTCAATGTTGACAGATTAGATACCATGAGGTGTAATATTTCAACTGAATTATTACATAAAAGGTGTAATTTTGTAAACAATTATCTACCAAAATGATATTTACTTTACTGTACCAAATTAATTATGTCATGAAATGAACAAAAACCCAATTAATTAATGGCAAGTAAATGTTCAATCTACATGTGATCTTTATATAATTTACACAAACAGATAACTCTTTAACAGTTTGTATTCAAATATTTCAAATGCATAAATTGATATTGACATTACTATAAACTTAAAGTATAAACAGAATTATTTCTAATTCCAATGCGTATTGCAATCATAACTCATTTATTCTCTTTGTTTAATTGTGAAACCCATCTGGCTTTATGGCCACAAACATGTTTTGAAACTTTAAAAACAAAATGATTTCTTTTGTGTAAGCAATTGCCATGTATTATTGATTATTAATCATATCAATTTATATGTAAGAATATAGTTGTGCTTACTCTGTCATTTTGCAATAATTATATTGTTATGATGTAATATTTTACTATTGTTAACAATCTTTAGAACTTTAGTTTATTTCAATCAAGTCAAGTGGTGTGATCATTTTGATAATTTTTATAATTCAATCAAAACGAGAAATATAAAAAAATATAAATACATGGAAGAAATTTTATTTCCTTGTCAAATAACAATGATAGCATGAATTTATCTCATCTTGTGATGTGACAAAGTTAATATTTTTAAGTCAAGATATCAACTTTAGTAAACAATAAGAAGAGATAAACATTATATTTGACAAAATAAATTCGAGCCTTATATTTTCTTTGTGATCTTCATGACCTTACCATAGTGTCAATGAGGCAGACTGACTGTAGGGATGACAAAACATGATATTTCACCTTATTTTAATAAAAATCTTATTTATTTCACTCTAGCGAAAGTATGTTTTCAGCATGGTCAGACTAAACAAAGTATGTCATGATTAAATACATACCGGTAATACAAATATCAAAACGTGTTTCATTAAAACAAGAGTAAATTTCTGTGTGACATTGATATAAAGAGCTGTAGTACACTGTCATTAAATTGATGCATCTGTTGAGTTTACTGTTTACACAGAATATACTGTTTGAGTTTTAGACATATCAGATGAATTGATGTCTTCAAGATTGTTCTAAAGTTGCATGTAATGTGACACACTGTGATTAATTTTCCTTAAATTTCTCTATTTGAGATGAATGTTGAGTGTTGAGTTGATAAACCCATATGTAGGGTGCTGAGTTGATAAACCCACGTGTAGGGTATAGAGTTGATAAACCCATATGTAGGGTGCTGAGTTGATAAACCCACGTGTAGGGTGTTGAGTTGATAAACCCGTGTGTAGGGTATAGAGTTGATAAACCCATGTGTAGGGTATAGAGTTGATAAACCCATGTGTAGGGCATAGAGTTGATAAACCCATGTGTAGGGTATAGAGTTGATAAACCCATGTGTAGGGTATAGAGTTGATAAACCCATGTGTAGGGTGTAGAGTTGATAAACCCATGTGTAGGGTGTAGAGTTGATAAACCCATGTGTAGGGTGTAGAGTTGATAAACCCATGTGTAGGGTGTAGAGTTGATAAAGGCATATGTAGGGTGCTGAGTTGATAAACCCACGTGTAGGGTATAGAGTTGATAAACCCATATGTAGGGTGCTGAGTTGATAAACCCACGTGTAGGGTATAGAGTTGATAAACCCATATGTAGGGTGCTGAGTTGATAAACCCACGTGTAGGGTGTTGAGTTGATAAACCCATGTGTAGGGTATAGAGTTGATAAACCCATGTGTAGGGTATAGAGTTGATAAACCCATGTGTAGGGCATAGAGTTGATAAACCCATGTGTAGGGTATAGAGTTGATAAACCCATGTGTAGGGTATAGAGTTGATAAACCCATGTGTAGGGTGTAGAGTTGATAAACCCATGTGTAGGGTGTAGAGTTGATAAACCCATGTGTAGGGTATAGAGTTGATAAAGGCATATGTAGGGTGCTGAGTTGATAAACCCACGTGTAGGGTATAGAGTTGATAAACCCATATGTAGGGTGCTGAGTTGATAAACCCATATGTAGGGTATAGAGTTGATAAACCCATATGTAGGGTGCTGAGTTGATAAACCCACGTGTAGGGTGTTGAGTTGATAAACCCATGTGTAGGGTATAGAGTTGATAAACCCATGTGTAGGGTATAGAGTTGATAAACCCATGTGTAGGGCATAGAGTTGATAAACCCATGTGTAGGGTATAGAGTTGATAAACCCATGTGTAGGGTATAGAGTTGATAAACCCATGTGTAGGGTGTAGAGTTGATAAACCCATGTGTAGGGTATAGAGTTGATAAACCCATGTGTAGGGTATAGAGTTGATAAAGCCATGTGTAGGGTGTTGAGTTGATAAACCCATGTGTAGGGTATAGAGTTGATAAAGGCATGTGTAGGGTGTTGAGTTGATAAACCCATGTGTAGGGTATAGAGTTGATAAACCCATGTGTAGGGTGTTGAGTTGATAAACCCACGTGTAGGGTGTTGAGTTGATTAACCCATGTGTAGGGTATAGAGTTGATAAACCCATGTGTAGGGTATAGAGTTGATAAACCCATGTGTAGGGTGTAGAGTTGATAAACCCATGTGTAGGGTATAGAGTTGATAAAGCCATGTGTAGGGTGTTGAGTTGATAAACCCATGTGTAGGGTATAGAGTTGATAAACCCATGTGTAGGGTATATAGTTGATAAACCCATGTGTAGGGTATAGAGTTGATAAAGCCATGTGTAGGGTGTTGAGTTGATAAACCCATGTGTAGGGTGTTGAGTTGATCAACCCAAGGCTGATAAGCAGGGCCAACCTGAAATCGGACCCCTACAACTGATCCTGGCACAAGCAAGGGAGGGCATCTCACAGCACATTGGAGAGCCACAGGCCCCATGCCCTACCATTGCTCACATAAGATTTCACATATTTCTGTCAATGCAATAATATTACACAGGAGTATGAATGTTACAAACAGAACAGACAAGCATTTAGATAGATAGTGTTTCAAGAGCTTTTTGAACACATTAAATAAGCTTTTGCTAAATTGCTCAATATGTTGTTCACATGATAGTTATTTATGGTATATTTTCTTAATATTTATCTGACATATAATTACAAATGTGTAGACTCTCTTTCAGAGTGATTGGGCAAACATAATTGTTATTTAGACAATTAATATGCCATGTCTGTCAGAGATTACTTCAACAACAGTGAGCTGGCTATTTGGGTAGATGTTGGTCCAGGAAGCAGGAAGAACGTGAGAAGGCTACATACTGTGTTGTAGGGACACAAAGTAACTATTGAAACGCATCATAACTCTTTAACATGGTTAAAGTACCACATGTTGGTTCAGGCAGCTTCAGCCTCTCCGTCAGAGCGTGGAGCTGCAGCGGCGACATCTGGAACATCTCATGGGACAGCAGGATTGTCTCCCCTGCAAGGTTACCATCATAACTGGATTAGTTTATTTGTTTCTTCTTTAATCAGGCAGTCACCAATATTTCAGCTATAGAACAGTCTGTAAATAAATGGGTCCGGACCAGACAGTCCAGTGATTGATATCATGAGCATCGATCCATCCAATTGGGATACAACGACATGCATCAGCCAAGTCAGCGAGCCTGACCATACCATTCATTCCGTTGGTCCCTTCTTATGACAAGCATGGGTTGCTGAAGACCATCTAACCCGGATCTTGGTAAATGAATTAAGTGTCACTAATTATACTTAAGTCATCATTAGTGAAACAGATATGACAGCATAAACTCATAGGTCATAAGAATGTAATGTCATGAGTTATGATGTGATGAGTCAAATGATAAGGAGATTCTTGCATGCCAGGGAAACTGTCATTTTGAATGTGTACACTACATAGAGTGTACAACAACTCTAGTCGAGACTTTTCAAAATGAATTATAGATAAACGAGGTTGGTGTTCTTGAGCCAAGACAATTATTGTAGTCACCTACCTCTGTTGTAGAGCTCTTCTGCAAGGGCCTGTGTGATGCCATGGATCTCCTTTAAGTATATAAAACATAAATGTTACTGATGATAACCACATATTTGTTGAAGTATAGGAAGGAGGCGAGGACGGGGGGCACGATGACTTACATGTTTGTTGAAGTGTAGGAAGAAGGCAAGGATAGGGGGCACGATACTTACATATTTGTTGAAGTATAGGAAGAAGGCAAGGACAGGGTCAAGGTGACTTACATAACAAATTTGTTGAAGTGTAGGAAAAAGGCAAGGATAGGGGGCACGATACTTACATATTTGTTGAAGTATAGGAAGAAGGCAAGGATAGGGGGCACGATACTTACATATTTGTTGAAGTGTAGGAAGAAGGCAAGGACGGGGGGCACGATGACTTACATGTTTGTTGAAGTGTAGGAAGAAGGCAAGGACGGGGGGCACGATACTTACATATTTGTTGAAGTGTAGGAAGAAGGCAAGGATAGGGGGCACGATGACGTACATATTTGTTGAAGTGTAGGAAGAAGGCAAGGACAGGGGGCACGATACTAACATATTTGTTGAAGTGTAGGAAGAAGGCAAGGATAGGGGGCACGATGACTTACATATTTGTTGAAGTGTAGGAAGAAGGCAAGGACAGGGGGCACGATACTTACATATTTGTTGAAGTATAGGAAGAAGGCAAGGATAGGGGGCACGATGACTTACATATTTGTTGAAGTATAGAAAGAAGGCAAGGACAGGGTCAAGGTGACTTACATAACATGTTTGTTGAGGTGTAGGAAGAAGGCAAGGATGGGGGGCACGATGACTTACATATTTGTTGAAGTGTAGGAAGAAGGCAAGGATGGGGGGCACGATGACTTACATATTTGTTGAAGTGTAGGAAGAAGGCAAGGATGGGGGGCACGATGACTTACATATTTGTTGAAGTGTAGGAAGAAGGCAAGGATGGGGGGCACGATGACTTACATATTTGTTGAAGTGTAGGAAGAAGGCAAGGATGGGGGGCACGATGACTTACATATTTGTTGAAGTGTAGGAAGAAGGCAAGGATGGGGGGCACGATGACTTACATATTTGTTGAAGTGTAGGAAGAAGGCAAGGATGGGGGGCACACGGTGTGCCAGGTAGTAGAGCACAGTCTGGAGGTACACCTCCAACTCCCCCTGACGTTTCTTGATGAACGTCTCGCTCTGGTTACCAAATAGCTTCTTGGGAGGCAGCAGGTTCTTGTCTAGCTTACATGTTGAGACCAGCTGTAAGCAAAGAGATAAATCAGACTGTTATGATTACATACTGTGTAAATGAGGAACTTATTCCTGACATCACAACATCCTAGCTAGGAGTGAAACAATACATCAGTGCAACATCGTGAGTTTTCATACCACGATAGGATACACAATACATTTTTTCTGTATTAACTTAATACAAGACAATTGACAAAATAGTACTTGACTTTTTATTACCCCCAGTGTATTTGTCAGTCAAATATCGCAAAATGTGTTGTAATTAGCTCTTCAAGAAATTTCCATGTGACTAGACGTAATCATGGCCTATTCATTGTGATACATATCGTATCATCACCTTGTTGTATCGTAACATCCCTAAACAGAGCCAGTTGAATACACTATATCACATCGTTTGTTTGTCTGTTTGTTGTTTAACGCTCTCCTTTCCGATATTCAAGATATATGACAGCAGTCCGTAAATAGTTGCATCTTGACCAAACAATCCAGTGATTGACATCATTAGCATCAATCTATGCAATCAGGATACGATAAGATTCATCAACCAAGTCGGCTGATGAATCTCATCATATCCCGATGCATTCAGCTATCCTGACCACTCGATCCCGTTAAGCCATACGACAAAAATAGTTGCTTCTTACGGCAAGCATGGGTTGCTGAAGACCAATCTCAACCTGGATCTTCACGGGTCCACGACATCATATCAAACTTCCTCGTAGGTAATAAATGCATTTTTACTATTATTATCATACATTTATATACCACACTTATCCAGACATCTCTGCTAAAATGCAGTTTTATTTGTTCCCTGATCAGTGGATACATATGCATTCCAGTTATCATCCTCACTCCACCTCCTACATCGGGTCCCCCTTCCCTGATAGGTGGACATAGGTACACTGGAACCAAGTCACGTGCTCACAGCAACACCACACGTGTTTCGACCGCTTAGGTTTCGGGTGTATAGACGTATTCGTGTTTCCACCATCTGGTCATCTACCATTGGATGAGTGGGTTCTTTTGACTGCACAGGATGAATGTACTGTACACTAGGGGTAGTGACAACACCATAAAGACCTGAAAACATTGTTGGTCCGTAGGCTGAATAGCAACCTGAGCCTCGTCCCACAAGGCGATCATAACTCTCATACTTTAACATAAACTTATGATGATCGTAGCGCTTACATCGCCTTGTGGAATGGGGCCCAGGTCACTAGCAGCATATGACCTCAGCATCAGGTGCTTTGGACCGCTTGCCCACTCTGCCGCGATTATTTTGTCAATGTCATTGGACTTCAGTCATAAAACCGAACAATAGTTACTCAAAGCTTTGACCCTTGGAAAAAATTAAACTCTCAGCTCGTGACTGCCACAAAGTGCTTGTACTAATACATCCCCAGTAATATGAAGACTTCAAGTATAGGTGATTACTCATATCAAATAACAAGGCTTATCTGTAATCAAACATAAAGTGCACACAAAAGCAAAACACTCTTAAGTTCTCAAACAACAGTCTGAACATACAAGAAATACATACATCTCCATCTTCATGGGTACTAAAACCTACAGGGTTTATTCATGCTCCTAGAAGTACCCTGCCCCACTCTGTAACCTGTATGTCTGCTCCTTGTATAGTTCTAGAAGTACCCTGCCCCGCCTGCCCCCATGTAACCTGTATGTCTACCCCCTTGTATAGTTCTAGAAGTACTCTGCCCAACCTGCCCCCATGTAACCTGTATGTCTGCCCCCTTGTATAGTTCTAGAAGTACCCTGCCCCGCCTGCCCCCATGTAACCTGTATGTCTGCCCCCTTGTATAGTTCTAGAAGTACCCTGCCCCGCCTGCCCCCATGTAACCTGTATGTCTGCTCCTTGTATAGTTCTAGAAGTACTCTGCCCCGCCAGCCCCCATGTAACCTGTATGTCTGCTCCTTGTATAGTTCTAGAAGTACTCTGCCCCGCCAGCCCCCATGTAACCTGTATGTCTGCCCCCTTGTATAGTTCTAGAAGTACTCTGCCCCGCCAGCCCCCATGTAACCTGTATGTCTGCCCCCTTGTATAGTTCTAGAAGTACTCTGCCCCGCCAGCCCCCATGTAACCTGTATGTCTGCTCCTTGTATAGTTCTAGAAGTACTCTGCCCCGCCAGCCCCCATGTAACCTGTATGTCTGCCCCCTTGTATAGTTCTAGAAGTACTCTGCCCCGCCTGCCCCCTTGTATAGTTCTAGAAGTACTCTGCCCCGCCAGCCCCCATGAAACGTGATGTCTGCCCCCTTGTATAGTTCTAGAAGTACTCTGCCCCGCCAGCCCCCATGTAACCTGTATGTCTGCTCCTTGTATAGTTCTAGAAGTACTCTGCCCCGCCAGCCCCCATGTAACCTGTATGTCTGCCCCCTTGTATAGTTCTAGAAGTACTCTGCCCCGCCAGCCCCCATGTAACCTGTATGTCTGCCCCCCTTGTATAGTTCTAGAAGTACTCTGCCCCGCCAGCCCCCATGTAACCTGTATGTCTGCCCCCTTGTATAGTTCTAGAAGTACTCTGCCCCGCCAGCCCCCATGTAACCTGTATGTCTGCCCCCTTGTATAGTTCTAGAAGTACCCTGCCCCGCCAGCCCCCTTGTAACCTGTATGTCTGCCCCCTTGTGTAGTTCTAGAAGTACTCTGCCCCACCTGCCCCCCTGTAACCTGTGTGTCTGCCCCCCTTGTATAGTTCTAGAAGTACCCTGCCCCGCCTGCCCCCCTCTAACCTGTATGTCTGCCCCCTTGTATAGTTCTAGAAGTACCCTGCCCCGCCTGCCCCCCTCTAACCTGTATGTCTGCCCCCTTGTATAGTTCTAGAAGTACCCTGCCCCGTCTGCCCCCTTGTATAGTTCTAGAAGTACCCTGCCCCGCCTGCCCCCCTCTAACCTGTATGTCTGCCCCCTTGTATAGTTCTAGAAGTACTCTGCCCCACCTGCCCCCTGTAACCTGTATGTCAGCCCCCTTGTCACTGTCCAGCATACAGCAAGCAGTGGTGGACATACCAACACCCTCTTACCTTGTCATGGAGATCATGAAAGTCACTGTATCGGTGCTTCACAGTCCAGCTGTAAGGTCCGACAGACACCTCGATCAGGTACACCTGTTAGGATATAGGAACAGAAGATAGACTATGTTCCAACTGCTAAGAATGAATTGAGGAAAATATTTTGTAAATTTAAAAAAAATAAAAAATTATTTAATAAGCATGATAAGCATGTACATGATCATGACATACGTTTGTTTATGTGTAACAGTTTCCCGCATATTGACTAACTACAACTATCTCTAATCATACAACTTCTATCTCATAGTCATACTAGTGATGTTGTAGAAGTTCTAACTGTGTAATATCATTGTCTGTGTTCCATGCTGCACAAAAGTTCACTTTAATCAAACACTGTAGCAGGATTCACTTGTCAAATTATTAGACCAAGCAAACATTTCTCCCTGATTCTTCTGGCAAATCATCAGCAACTATACATTACTTTGGTTAATTCAAGTGGCATTTAGAAAAAACCCAGCTCCTTTGTTCTCAAACTTATCCCTGTGATATTGTTGATGTGTCAGATGTTGGTGACAACTGACAAGGCCATATGGTCTCAGCTTACAACATAAGTACATGTCCACTAGCCACGCTGCCTTTGACTGTGTTATCAGTGAACGGATGTGACAGTGACACACATATCAAGTGCTGCTAATGAAGGCTGTGTGTCTTATAAAGCCACCACAAAGTGTGTTGTAATCATTGATAATTTCCTTCTATCATGTCCTTGTGTAAGGGCAAACGCGGTCCTGAATGATATGCGAGACAGACATATCTTGTTTGACAGTACAAGTCATTGCAATCACATTATGGACAACAGCAACCATGCTTACCTGTACAACCAATGTTAGAAACTGGCAGTAGTCCTATAATCCTTACCAAACTGCCTAATAGTAAAGGTATCCTAAGGACTAGTAGAAATTGGCCGATTTAAGGGTTTTGCTATATGTTATCATTATAAGGACTAGTGGACAAAAACTGTTAGTTTCTAACCCTGACAACCATATTCTCTGTGTATAGCGCACGCTTCTTTTTAAAAAAATACAGCTGAAAAGAGGGGTGTGTGAATAATCCACACAAACAATGAGTTTTGATATTCTCCCCCAGCAAAATGAAATAACTGTCAGCAGGCTCAATTTAAGGAACTTGACTTAACTTGCACTAGGTGCGTGTTGACATGAAAACCTAGTAGCACCAGAAAAAAACAAGTTGTGCCCTGGTCCCATAAATTTCTCAAAGTTAAAACATGTGCACATAATCTTGAAGTACCCACAGTTTGATGACATCAAGCCCCCAAAAGCATGACAAATTACACATAACACTAACAGAGGAATTACTGACGTAGTATGGTTGATTGGTTTGCTGTTTAATGCCACACTCAGCAATATTCCAGCTATATGACGGCGGTTTTTAAATAATCCAAGTCTGGACCAGACAATCCAGTGATTGATATCATGAGCAAGCATAGTCACCTTTTACGACAAGCATGGGCTGCTGAAGACCTATTCTACCCCATCTTCCCGAGGCAAGTGAGTTAACTGACAATAAAAGTCCAGTTTCCACCCTTGCCGAACTAGGCTGGTATAATGGAGTTACATTTTGGCCGGACTAACGAGTCCATGCATAGTCCAATCAAAATCGCGCACCGAAATTGAAATCCGGTTCATAAAGTGTCATGTACATTTCGGTCGACTGCAGGATTTGCAAAGCATGTGCACCGCTAACTCGTTGGCAACAGATATTTTCTATATCTTTTCATGTTTTTAATCAAGGTGCTCACGTAATTTGATGCACTTCGCGATGTAAGACTCGTTTGATCACAATATAGATCTTAATTATCGATCAGATCGTCTTGACTGGGCGCCACCGTTTTGTTTGAAGAAAATGCAAGTAATACGAGAGCTTGAATCTGATTGGTCAATAGGAGAGGCATAGAAAGGACATAACTGGTAATAGCCACTGGTGGCGCTACTATCGAGCCCAGGAATTCCAGCCTAATTCGGCAAGGGTGGAAACTGGACTTTTAAAGTCAGTTAACTCTCTTGCCTCGGGAAGATGATTCTACCACGGATCTTCACTGGTCGACATAGTATGGAAAAAACCCATTCAAATACAAATGCTTAGTTATTACTTACCCATCAAACATGGCCTTCACGGTCCATGTGTACACGTCATTAAAATCATGTGAAAAGCATGATCTGTAAATTGCATATGTGTAATATGTGTAGATGAGAAGCATACAATATTCCAGTTACATTCTCTTATGATGCAATTTAATAAAAAATCATTAGGCTCATGACATCAGTCACTGGATTGTCTGGTCCAGACCTGATTATTTACAGACCACCGTCATATAGATGGAATATTGCTGAGTGCGCTGTTACTTAACAAACAAACAAACAAACAATCCAAGTGCTGTGTTGTGATATGAAGGCAGTCTGGGGGAGGGGCTGTCAGCTGCTTCAAAATAGAGGACACCTAAGACAAAGCAACATACTCAGTGGAAACCATGGTAACAGATCACATTCACACATCCTCCTTCTCTTTCCAATCTTTGACTGTGTGAGACCTCCGAGGGCTGAATATATATACATTTTAACTCTTGATAAGCATATTCTGAGTGACCTGTTTAGGGTTGAATGAAACTGATTGTTTGGAAGTGTTGTCATACAATTAGTATCTGATATTGCAATGGAACTGAGTGATGTTTGATTTCATCAAACAAAAGAACAAGATTCATTAATATTTTGTCCACTTGTTTTGTAATAGGGTAAAACATTGCAGCAGCTCTATCAATTGTTGAGAAGTATAATTACCAGTCATTACTGATACAGTGGCAGAAGTAATTGGTACAGTTGAATTAATAAGTCTGTGCGAGGTGACTCCACCAGTGACATTTGAAAGACTGATTCACAGCCAAGTAATTACTATTGTTCCACACAGATATTGTCACAACAGCTGCAGATGTTGATACAATGGCAGCATCTATTTTTAGATGCGTAAGTCCTTTGTTTGTTAACATGCCACATACACAAGATGAAATAGGATGTCAGTGCATATGATCAATTCTTCAGAGTGAGTGAGTGGGTTGGGTTTAACGCCACTTTTAACAGTATTCCAGTTATATCACGGCGTGTCAGCTTAATGTGGGAGGAAAGCCCAAAGTGATGCAGGTCTCAGACGTTTACCACTTCGGTGAAACCCACGAGCACGGGTATGCAATTCTTCAGAAGGGCTGTTGGGTAGCCTTGTGGTTAAAGTCTTCATTCGTCACACCAAAGGCATGGTTTCAATTCCCCACATAGGTACAATGTGTGGGCCCCTAGCCTAGAACATTTCTACCAAAGGCGTATAATAATACTCACTTTTACCAGCACATCAATCAATGTTTCAATGTAAATTAAGCCAATGGGGTTATAAACAATTTATTTTTTCGTTTTTAGGCCCAGGGGCTAAATAAAGAGGGGGCTGAAAAAACGTGCAGTCCAAGTATAGGAATGGAAGTGTTTCAGCTAAATCACTGGTCAATATTTTGCTTTTCAATTAGTAAATCCATAATTTCAAAACTTACGAAAAGTTTGTTGTGAGAGAAACTCTTCCATAAATGAGAGTCTGCAGTTTGTGTTAGGCCTTCTGTTCAAGTTGTACACTTACTGGGAAAACTGGCCAACATAAGCAAAATAAATAGTTTCCATGGATATATTGTCAACTGATCTAAATGGATTTTTGAGAGTATCATGATGAGAGGGATTGGTCTTAATAACTCCACAAGTGCTGAGACTCTGTTTTCTAGAGTATCGTGAATGAATTAGTCAAGAAGATTAGTTGTGGATGAATGTCAATGTCACTCTCACCTGTGCAGTACCTCCAGATACCGACACCATAACATTCTGTTATTTTATGGGTGTTTTCATATTGCCCTTTTAACGACATATTTATCGATGGACTGCCCAAACTGTGTGTTTCCAAATACAATGGAATCTGTCCCAACAACCAATACTGAAAAGAAGCTGTTTTGTTTGTTTGTTTGTTGTTTAACCAGAGATCCAGATAAGCTGTGTATCTGCGTAAAAAACGCATCAGAAATGCAGAAATACGCAGTAAAATAATATCCAAGCGTATCAAATACGCAACGAACATTACAGATACGCTACAAAAATAAAACTTGTGCGTATATTCAAAATATTGTGAAGTAACCCTGCGTATTCGATTGGCAAATCAGCAACTTATTTTGAAATTATAAACGGGCATTCCGTCAACCTTGCCAAACTCCACGATGACAGTTACATCATGATCATTTGCCATCATACTTGTGGAAGTATCTTGGTATTTTTGAGTCCTATAAAGCTCTCGAACCCACACAACAGCAGTTTGCAGGGACTAGATGAATAGTGTTTTTAAATATTTAACTTAAATACCCACATGTGTAAAAACTAGTGGGTAACAGAAATTTGAATACCCAGATAGAATTACTGATACGCAGTGATTTTAAAATGCATGGGTAAAATACCCACAACACCAAAAGCTTATCTGGAGCTCTGTTAACGTCACACTACAGCAATATGATGGTGGTCTGTAAATAATCGAATCTGGACCAGACGATCCAGTCATTGATGTCACGAGCATCGATCCACTCAGTTGGGATATGATGACACACATCAACCAAGTCAGCGAGCCTGACCAACCGATCCCATTAGTTGCCTCTTACAACAAGCACAGTCATATTTTATGGCAAGCATGGGTCGCTGAAGACCTATTCTAACCTTGATCTTCATGGTATTCACAGTTATAAGAAAACAGGATCAAACAGTCTATTAATGCCTTGTTGTGATTACAATGTAAGGAACGCAATCATGAGCAAAAGCCATATTGGCCCCTAAACTTGTATTTGGATTTCATCACTGATCATAGCTCGTAATCAGTTTGTCCAAACCAATCAATCGTCATTTATCATGATGAAAACCTCCACCTGCGACTTTATCCACTGGTTAAAAAATCAAGTATAGTTAAATTTTGTTCCATCTAGTAAAGTATTAGTCCCATATAATAACACTAAAATTGACTGAAAATGAAGTGAAGAACCAAGTTCAGAGGAGTAGCCAGGAGCTCTACTGAAAACAAACTTTTTAAAACGTTAATGTTAAATAGTCTTACAAAGTACAGATTTACAAGAAAAAAGAGTCAGATGTGATTTCATTCTTATCTAAAAAACAACAAACAACTGCCCTGATCTAACAAACAGTGCATTACATATTTAAACCCCAGCTGAATGCCAAGCTGTAGCTGTGACATCATAGTTGAGAGATGTCCACCATTTTGTTTTGTTTACAGTGCATTACTCTAAAAACCAATGAAGTTATTTTCATTATTCTTGGTGAATTGAAGATGCAAAATCGTCAATTGTGTGGGTGTGTACTAGTTCATATATTTTCTTTTAGGGTGCCCTCCGGCTCCTCCCCTGAATCCTGAATACCATCTAACAATGATCTAAGATTTCCACCCCAAGTCTCATTTGCTCTCCCCTGAAACCAGAATACTACTCAACACAAATCTCAAAAGCATTGAGAAAAGGGTGCGATTTCAAGTAAAATTACTTAAAAAATATGGAAAAAATGTAAATAAATAAAAGAAACTTTTGCGTACACCATTATTTTTTTATATAAATATTGAAACTGCATACCAAATACAATTTTATAAGAGTCCCACATACCACATTGCTGAGTATCAATACCTTCTAAATAGACGTACCAATAGGGGGTTGGCAACCTCATTTGGGGGGAGACTTTAATAAATTAGACTTTGAAGTTGAGAATCAGTTTCTGTAAGCAAGAAAGCGTACAACCTTATGCATAACAACTCCTGGAATATTGCATATACCAGTAGCTATGTTTTTATGTAGATTCTTATACGTTATAAAGCTGGAGTGATCATCTGCAAGTCCACTCTCCACTATGACATCACGTCATGACAGCTCTTCTCATTGCCTTTAGAATGTTTTCATTCATTTCCATATGCTTTATAAATGATTTAATCCCACATTTATAGTTTACTGTAAATCTCCTTAAAAGGCTTATGACACAAACTGTAATCTGTTACGTAATTCATCAAATTTATTTATTTTTTAGGAATTATACACATAAACATATTTATTCTTATGATTCAAAATTTTCAACATATTATTGTTAAAATAAATAAGCCATGTAACATGTATAAATGATTGCTAAAGTGTAATTGTACAATGAACAAATACCTTGATCAAATACTCTCCACCAACGATAAGGGACACAATGAATCTTTGCATCAGCTCTGTTTTAATGTCATTGAAACATCACAAGACCATGGTAGAAACTAATATTTTTGCTCCATTAAACCATATAATGATAACATAAATCAAATCCCTTAAAAATGGCAAATTTCTACTAGTCCTTACGATACAGTAACTTATGGGCAGTTTGGCAAGGACTACAGGACTACAGGACTAGTGCCAATGTCTAACACTGTTAAAATTGATATTATAGCTAAAATTGATAGAATTATCATTAAACCGCCCGCACGTTATCAGAAATGAGCGGGCCACTGTAACTTGATAATGCCCTCATATTGCTTGACGACGGGCCATTATCAAGTCCGTTGTTAGGTGACGTCATAGGGTAGAGAAAATGACGTCACGTATTATAGTGACGTCATCTGGTTTGTTCTATGACGTTTCCATATTTGTAAAATGTGGTCAGTGAGATTCGTGTTGATTGCAGTAAGTGTTTCAAAACCGATGTTGTTGTTTCTTTTTATTTGATAACAAATTCCATCCATTTTAGCTATAATAACGGTAACGCTCTTTTTCAGGGCATTATCATTTGCAGAAGCCCTCGGTCTTTTCAACTGCCCTCCTTCGTCGGGCAGTTAATAGAAAACCTCGGGCTTCTGCAAATGATAATGCCCTGAAAAATAGCGTTACCCTTCTATTATCACATGTTTCTGTTTGAGCCATAAACCAAGCACTAGCATGTTGTTCAACCTGACCTTATGCGCTCAGTAGTTTTTCTGATATTTCCTGTACTGGTCACAAGAAGCTGTCCGCTCCTTGTACCCAAGTGTTTCATTAGGCCACTTCCTACTTTATTGAATGATGTTACCGTGACCTACAATAACCAGTGGGTAACGAACAGTACCGGAGACCACTGCACTGGACAAAGAGAAGGACACAGTACACATATTCAACAAACCTTTGGAAATTCCAATAAACACCGCCATACTACCCGCAGTAAACAGGTCCGGTGGGAATGTCTTATGTAATGATTGCAACAAAAACAAAGGTTGCAATACATGAACATCGACTTTTTAAACACATGACGTCGTCCCACGTACCGTGTAGTTTTCAGCTGATTCAGAACTCAGGATTCGCACAGTTCTTGAAGCGCTGAAGGAGTCGAGATCTTTACCGAAGTGAGCCATTGTCAGTTATGCTTCATCACCATCTTATCATGTTTACAAATATCTTCTCATGATTACTTGACACAGTTCGACGCCATGTTCTGTCGTCAAACACACGCCCTCTCTTGTCAGGATGTAGATATTGAGAGTGACGTCCCTTGGAAGCGCTTGTAAAATCTATGCTATTTGTTACGGAACTACTTGATGAGCAGTAAGACAAGAAAATAGTGACACCAAGCATCAGAAATCCAGCAACATTCAGACATCAGTAGAACTATGATGTAGAGAAATGTTTGGATCACAGAAAGCAAATCGAAACAGTCCCTTCACCTTGGAAACAACGGCTCTTCAATAGGTTAATAACGCGGCGACATACCGGGAGTCTGTAATTAACAGACCGTCTTAGTGTAGAGTTGGTGATGTAAAGTGAAGTGTGTTTGTTTGTTTGTTTGTGGTTTAATTAAGCACTCCACAATATTCTAGCTACGGCGATCTGTAAATAATCGAGTCTGGACCAGACAATCCAGTGATTGACATCATAAGCATCGGTCCACGCAATTGGGATAACACATTCTTAAGACAAGCGTGGGTGAATGGTAACTGTTTTATGATCTGGACAAACAAGGTGGGTCACTCTGATGAGTACTGACGACACATGAATTGATATAGCAAGAATATATTCCTTTTATGACATATGAAATCCGAAACGGTTTTATGACCAATTAATGACACAACACGATGGAAATAATGTCGTTCCCAAGCACAATTTACCTTTTCATTTCTTGAACTAAACGTAACACAGAAACTGAGGATTGAGTATGGTTTTACACTGCTGTAAATTATTAAACGTCCTTGCCAGAGAATAAGCAGATTCCATTGCTTGTAAAGGCAAAATAGCCATGAACCAAATAGCATCTGCAAAATTTGTATAAGAAAGTATGTCTTTGTTTCCTGGCACATCACAGCAGTACTCCTGCCATGCCATTTCCCTCTCCTGCTCCTGTGTCTCATATTTCTCAACCAGCTCCCCAACTTCCCAACTTTGTCCTACCTCCATCTCACAATTGTACTTCCCTCCTCCTCTCCGTGTCCTATATCCCCCGTCTCGTTTCCCCATCTGCATTTAATTCAGGCCTTCCGCTGCACTTCCCTTCTCAACAAATACACCCATGTTCCCCTTTTTCCCCATCTGCTCCTACATCCGTCACACAAATTACTTCCCTTACTGTCTCCTCCAATGTCCTTCATTTCCACACCTGTTCCTACCCCCGTCTTACCAATGTACTTCTCGTCACCTCTCCTCCTCCAATGTCCTCCATTCCCCACCTGCCCCTACCCCCGTCTTACCAATGTACCTCCCTTCACCTCTCCTCTTCCATTTCCCCACCTGCCCCTAAGCCCGTCCTACCAATGTACTTCCCTTCACCTCTCCTCTTCCATTTCCCTACCTGCCCCAACCTCCGTCCTACCATTTCACTTCCCTTCACCTCTCTTCCTCCATTTCCCCACCTGCCCATAAGTCCGTCCTACCAATGTACTTCCCCTCACCTCTCCTCTTCCATTTCCCTACCTGCCCCATCCTCCGTCCTACCAATATACTTCCCTTCACCTCTCTTCCTCCATTTCTCCACCTGCCCCTAAGTCCGTCCTACCAATGTACTTCCCCTCACCTCTCCTCTTCCATTTCCCGACCTGTCCCATCCTCCGTCCTACCAATATACTTCCCTTCACCTCTCTTCCTCCATTTCTCCACCTGCCCCTAAGTCCGTCCTACCAATGGACTTCCCCTCACCTCTCCTCTTCCATTTCCCGACCAGCCACTACCTCTGTCCTACCAATATACTTCCCTTCTACTCTCCTCTTCCGTTTCCCCACCAGCCCCTACCTCCGTCCTACCAATATACTTCCCTTCACCTCTCTTCCTCCATCTGCCCCTAAGTCCGTCCTACCAATATACTTCCCTTCACCTCTCTTCCTCCATTTCCCCACCTGCCCCTAAGTCCGTCCTACCAATGTACTTCCCCTCACCTCTCCTCTTCCATTTCCCGACCTGCCCCATCCTCCGTCCTACCAATATACTTCCCTTCACCTCTCTTCCTCCATTTCCCCACCTGCCCCTAAGTCCGTCCTACCAATGTACTTCCCTTGACCTCTCCACTTCCATTTCCCCACCTGCCCCTAAGTCCGTCCTACCAATGTACTTCCCTTCATCTCTCCAACCCCGATGTCCTCAATTTCCCCACCTGCCCCTAAGTCCGTCCTACCAATGTACTTCCCTTCACCTCTCCACTTCCATTTCCCCATTTTTGTTCCCACTTCTTCACCTGCTACAATGTCCAACATTTCCCACAGCCCTGTCCCAACCTCCGGCTTACCAATATACTTCCTTGTCGTCTTTGAATAAAATATTTGCATATACAACCAGTTTAATTTCCAGCCTCACATTTCTTACTTTATGGCAACGATTTTGCTCTACATCACTATCTTTCTTACTTTAAATATTCCAGTTGAGCAACTGTGCCTTGGCGTTATGATTATTCCTATAATAACCATTGTTGCCAAGGGAAGGGGTTAATGAATTATGTTGCAGTGACTTAACTGGCTTCCCTTCTATTGAATTATTTTGCATAGGATAAGAATTTTCAGATGTCTCCTGTTTGATTCCTGTAGTAGCCATTGTGACAGTTCCGATCTTGAACACGCCCTCAAGCTGAGAGAAAGTAATACGTTGACGTAATCTGTTTATCAATTACTATATACAATGGTAATGAACTGCCTAAACCTTAACATATGTAGTGTCAGGGTATTTTATTTAACATTGTGAAGGGGGCACAGGTGGCCCACAAGTAACTCACTCACTCACTCACTCTCATTGCAAAAATGAAGTATTTTTAATGATTCATTCAAGCGTGCATAAAATCCTCATTCAAGCACGGTAACCCCTTTTAAGTATTAACCTCTACTAGAGTAGCTTCCCTTGGAATGACCTTCACATTTCACAACGTTTGTTCTCAATGTTCAACCTGGAGATGGCTACCAAGTGTTGATGTAGATCTGTCTATATTTACAATGTAAGGCAGATGGAAGTGCCGGGTTATGCATAAGGTCGACGCATGCGTGGTTTTGCCTAGAGTAGCGGCGTCATGACAACAGCTAGCCCTTCCTGTGTGTCAGCCATTTTGAGAGATTTCACTGGAAGTGATCACAGTATTATTGTGCAAAATACGACTCTACAAGTGCGTACGACTTGAAGAGGTGGAGAAAACTATGAATCCCACTACGACAGGTATTTGAAATTTGTATTTTGACCAATGACAAAGTAACATGTGATTGTTTCAATGTGTTTACAAAGCAAACAATGAAACGCTGATGTTTCCGGACCGCATTGACTGTATGAAGGTCTTATATTACAGAGTAAGAGTTGCACAATAACCAATTTCAATTTTCGGAATTTCCAGTGTGTTATATTGTAGAGTTTCACAATAACTTTAGATGGTGATTGGTTACCTGAACATTTTAGGGAATTTTAGTTGTACTGTCACAAGACGTGAACATGATACACAACATTTTCGACTTTGTGGAATTCCTGCAGACACGCTGATCTTGTTTTCAAAAGACATAAGTCTAATGAACAGTTAGATATTGGTTCTCACTATTATTGAAATGGCGAATTATCTTGTAGGCAGTTTAGGAAACTATTCACTGTTACAGTGCCTGTGACCCGCTTGCTCCCCGGGCTGCCAACAGTGGTGTTGGGAGATGGGACCAGATGTCTGATAGATAACAACACTATCTGGATACCTGCTGGTAATCCTGTTAACCTCTCCCTGGATGCTGGTTACCTACAGCCAAGACTCCTTCAGCCTGGAGGTCAGTCATCTGTGACTGCTATCCCCTTGCCTCCTGCAGTCCAGCCACCATCTTGCAATAGACGTAGGGAGATGATGCCTGTCTGCCAGCTGCCTGTCAGCCTGCCCAGTGCAGTGCTAGACCTGGAGCTGATAAGACCAGAGGTATGCAGGAGTATTCTTGTTCTTTTGATGATTTATAAAACGTAACTCAAAAGATAATTATACTTGCTTTTATAGTAGAGATATACTTCCATTGTACTTAAGTAATCATGAAATATAAAAATGATACAATGACTGTATCGCCCATTAGGCCTTCTCCTGTGTTCTGCCCCAACTTGACCCACCCAGTCCAGTTCCTCATCCCCAGTCTATGGCCCATGTTGAAACTCCTCCCATGCCTACAACAAGCAACCCCAAACCCAATGTCCATCAAAAGCAGAAACTCGAGCTCAAGCCCTGCAAACGCAAGCCCCGCACGTTCAGGCCAAAACCTCAGCCAACGCCTCGCATTCCGAAGGAGAAAATGATCAAGCATCAGCCAGAGAGCAAGCCCTACTTTGTGCCTCAGCCTCTTGGCGCTCAGCACATCAAAACCCAGAGCAGACCCCTGGGGAACCGTATCACTAAGTCTGGGGGTAGAAATAGTATCATTAAGGCCTCACCTAAGAGTTTTGCTGAACAGTTGTTGTCTGCTGATGGTGCATACTTAAAGCCAAAGTCTGTCTTGCCCAGTACAGGTTGCAAGACATCCCCTGTCCCTGTTAAGAATGTAAAGGATAAGGTTGTTTCAGCACCAGAGAGTCCTAAGTCAGGTGGTGTCACTGCTGCAACATTAAGTGTACATTCTGCCAAGTCAGTGGACAGATGTGAGCCAAACTCTGATGATGAATATGATGTGGAATATCTGTATCTTACCAAACTCATTTTAAGGAAAAAGAAGAAACCCACATCTGAGCCCAGCAAGGAGCCCCTGCCTTCACGCAAGAGGAAGTGCCCAGATGACAACAGCGAGGTGTCCCAAGCTGTAAAGCAGGCGAGACTGGAGGAGCCCCAGGACACTCTTGAGGACCTGGAAGCTCTCCTGGCTGAGTACAGCTCCAGTCTCTCATCTGGCACCAGGGACTTTTTCTAAACAGTGTAAGGGGCAGGGAACAGGTAGGTATAGATTGGTGTATAGTTAGGTTGAGGTTTATACATGATTTTCACGTCTTTCGCTAACAGTCATTGTTTTTGTACTACTTTGTACTGTTGTGCTCTACACTACCATCTACTGTGCTACACTTCTGTGCTATGTACTATCCTACACTAGTCTGCTATGTACTATCTGACACTACTCTACCGTGCACTGTCACACACAACTCCTATGCTACTCTACTATGTACTGTACTACCTTACCCTACCATGTACTGGCCTAATCTACACTACCATGTAATGTTATACACTACTCGAGTCAGTCTACTATGTACTTTCATATACTACTCTGCTACATACTTTCCTACACTACCCTGGGGCAGTCGGGTAGCCTAGTGGTTAAAGCTTTTGCTTGTGACACCGAAAACGTGGGTTTGAATCCTGACATGGGTACAGTGTCTGAAGCCCATTTCTGGTTGTCTCCCGCCGTGATATTGCTGGAATATTTCTGAAAGCTCCGGAAAACCATACACACTCACTCACTCACTCCTACTCTACCGTGCACTGTCATTCTCTTCTTTACTTTATACTGTCCTAAACCACCCAACCATGTACTGACGTACTCTGCCCTCTTCTGTACTATCCTATTCTATCCTACACTATTCTACTGTAATACGCTACTACCCTACTCTATACTTACCTAATCTATCCTACTATCTTTCCTGTCTGGATACTCTCCTACACTGCACTGTATTGGCCTACACTAACCTACTCTCTACTGACCTACACTATCCTCTCAGTTACTGTCCAACACTACCCTACTGTGTACTGCCAAACATATATGCACTCTCCAGTCATTCACTATCCTAACTGACCTACACTAGCCTAAATGCAGTCCTACACTACACTATCCTATCTTACTCTATCTTACTATCTTACTATCTCCTGTCTTGTACTATTTGCTATCTTAATTTTCTTCTCTCTATTATCCTACTCTTTCCTGCCTTGTACTATCTACTATCTTATCGTTGTCTCTCCTATCCTACTCTCTCTCCTGTCTTTCTCCTTCCTCCTGTGTGCTGTCTTATATTTGATTTTATTCTCTCTACCACCATGACTATCATCCTCTTTCCTTCCTCGTACTACCTACTATCGTAGGGACCTCTCTACTATCCCATTCTTTCCACCTTTGTACTATCTACCATCTACTATCAGTATCTACCTCTACTATCCTCTTCCCTGTCTTGTACTATCTACTATCTTATTGTTTCTCCTAACCTACTCTCTCCTGACTTGTACTGTCTGCTATTTCATTTTCTTTTCTCTACTATCATACTCTTTCCTTCCTTCTGCTACCTACTTAATGTCCTCTCTACTATCCAATTCTCTCCACCTTTGTACTATCTACCATCTACTATCTACCTCTACTTTCCTGCCTTGTACTAATATCTTAATGTTGTCTCTGATATCCTTCTCTTCCTGTTTTGTACGATGTACTGTCTTACTGTTCTACTCTCTACTATCCTAGTCTCTCCAGTGTTGTATTTTGAACCATCTATATGTTTCCCCTACTATCCTACTCTTTCCTGTCTTGTACTAGCTATTATCTTAATGTTCCCTCTACTAAACTACAGTTTCCTGTCTTGTACTATCTAATATCTTAATGTTGTCTCTGATATCCTTCTCTTCCTGTTTTGTACGATGTACTGTCTTACTGTTCTACTCTCTACTATCCTAGTCTCTCCAGCGTTGTGTTTTGAACCATTTATATGTTTCCCCTACTATCCTACTCTTCCCTGTCTTGTACTAGCTATTACCTTAATGTTGTCTCTACTATCCTACTCTTTCCTGTCTTGTACTAGCTAGTATCTTAATGTTCCCATTACTAAACAACAGTTTCCTGACTTGTATTATCTCTTATCTTAATGTTGTCTCTACTATCCTACTCTTTCCTGTTTTTTTCACTGTGAATTATCTAAATATTCACTCTACTATCAAGTAATGAAAAATATACAGTGGAAACATGTCACTGTACAGTTTTGTAAGTGTATGTGAGGTGTGGAAAGGGGCGGCTGTGAGGGGAGGTTGGAGGCCGTTTATTTAGTATGTAACTGAAAAACATGTGTTTGTTTCTAACTAATGTCTACAATGGTTTCATAATAAAATATCACTTTGCAGTCTTAGTAGTAGTTATGTTTTATTTTAACAACTGAAGTTGAGTTGTGTGGTTTGTTAAAGTAGAGGAACAATTTGAGTGAAAGTACATTGCTAAGCATCGCAAAAGTGACTCAGTAACCAATTATAGATAGTTAACAGCATTGTCTTGGTGATGTCACTCAGTGTGTATGACTGTTGTAAATGAACAAGGTTGTAAATGGTCATGAAGTATCAGCTTGTATCTTCAACGAAAAGCCACCAATATATTCTGTGATTTTAATCCTCATTGTTGCACAAACAATGCCTGACGAGAGCCATAAATTGCAACGATAAGTTGTCACATTAGTGATTCATGAGTAATATCAGTGTTCATAGCTGATGCAAGTAAATTAAACTGGTATTTCACATACAATGCATGGCCAAGTAAGCTCATTAGCTTAGAGATAAATCTGTTATTAAATTGTCACTCCTTGCAAGAAAAAAAAGACGAAATATAATTTTCAACATTGAAATATGGGCATCAGCATACCAAATGGGGGTTGGCACACTCTTTTAACCCACACCATATATTACTTTGAGATGTTTGTGCATCACTCGAGACTGAAAATGCTTTTATTAGGGGGAATATCAAATTTTAATTTCACTTAGATTATTTGTCATATACTTAGCACCAGATATTAAGAGAACATGTGAGCAATTGTTTTAATTACTGTGTCTGACATTGAGTTAAATCTACTTCACACTTGCAATATTGTCACAATATAGTGACAAGGGACAATATACGATATGTCCATTGAGACGGAGGTTTTGTATTTTCTCAGACAAAAGCTCAGAAATGCTTTAGTATGACTGCCAAGGTGAGAATGGATTTCTCTGATGCGAGTAAAACAAATGTGGAACATACTTGGTAAGATGTGAGTGAGTACCTGTATCATTTTCCAAACCAATAGACCTGATACAGTGGTATTATACTTCTATAGCCTCAGTTGTTTCTCTGAATGCAGAAATACACACATGGAACATGTTATGGTAAACAAACCAATGGGTGAGTGATTGAAGTAGTTCGTAATCTTACAGCTGTATTGTGGCGGCATGTAAGATATTTCAGTCTGGACCAGATAAATCACAATGACACACAACGAACCAGGTCAGAGGTGGTCCTTCATCATATAATATTCATAGCCAGGAGCTGATTTGACCTACACATTCTTGAGACAAGAATGGATGACAGGTAAAAGTTTTCTAATATGGAAACCAAAAGGTGTTACTTTCATGAGCACTGATCATAAGTTGATAGAATATGCATGTCACAGGTGGTCCTCCATAGATCACTTTTCACAACTAGCTGCCATTGTCACTAACTTATTCTATAGACAAGCACGGGTGAATGGTAAATGTTTCATGATCTGGACACAAAAGATGGGTCACTCTGATGACCACTGATGATACATGCATTGATATAGCAAGTATGTATTTTGTCATATCATATACTTCTTCACGAGCAATACACGGGTGGGACACAGATTTGCCTCATGTAGATGTACTTGTGGCATTGTGACAGTTTAATTTCAGCTCATGTATTTGCCAGAGCCGTTCTCTCAGCTATTAAGAGAATGTGTCATATGAAAATATGAAAACTATGAAACTTCCTTTCCTGACATATGAAATCCGAAACGGTTTTATGACCAATTTATAATATAACATGATGGAAATAATGTCATTACCTAGCACAATTTACCTTTTAATTTCTTTAACTTAAAGTAACACAGAACCTAAAGGATTGAGTATGGTTTTACACTGCTGTAAATTATTGAACGTCCTTGCCTTGCCTTTGAATAAGCAGATTCCATTGCTTGTAAAGGCAAAATAGACATTAAAAGTTTATGAACAGAAGGGTGAAAATCAGTTGATGACACCAGGTGTTCACGAAAATGGTAAACATTTCCTGCACTACGGGTAGTACCTCCCAAATTTGCACAAGAAAGTATGTCTTTGTTTCCTGGCACAACACAGCAGTACTCCTGCCATGCCACGGGGCATGTAAACAAACCAGACAATGAAATGATGAACCAGAAACCAGTATCATGATGGCGCATTTACCTTCTTTGGACAATGGTAAACTACCTCAGAATTTCAATTTCTATCAATATTTCTCTTATCTTCGTCCTCCCACTTTACTACCTATCCTCTCTCATAACACATGACCCTAATTTCCCACCATTTCCACAATAGTTTCCTTCACCTTGGCTACTCCCATGTCACCAATTCAAGACCAGTTTCTACCTCCAGTTTCGGTCCCTTAAAGTACAACACCTCTCTCCTACTCTAATGTCCCAATTTCCACACCAGCCCCGACCTCCGTTCTCCAATAAAACTTCCCTTACCCTGTCCTACTCCTATATAATTTCCATTTCCCCTTTAATCCTGCCTCTGTATCATCCAACCCTTCCCCTGTCTCTTTCGCTCATGTCCTTTGTTTCCCTCCACTTTTTTTTTCTTTTTCTTCCCCTCTCCTGCTCCCATGTCTCCTATTTCTCAACCAGCTCCTGCTTTCCCCACTTGCTCCTACCTCCATCCAACCACTGTACTTCCCTCAACCCCTCCGTGACGTATCTACCCCATTATGTTTCCTAACCTGCACCTACGTCAGGCCTTCCACCGCTCTTCCCTTCTCTACAAATACTCCCATGTCCCCCTTTCCCCCCATTTGCTCCTACGTCCATCACACCAATTACATCCCTTACTGTCTCCTCCGATGTCCTCCATTTTCCCACCTGCTCCTAACCCCGTCTTAACAGTGTGCTTCCCTTCACCTCTCCTGCTTCAATGATCTCCATTTCCCAACTTTCCCCTTCCTCCGTCCTACCAGTGTACTTTCCTTCACCTCTCCTCCAATGTCCTCCATTTCCCCACCTGCCCCAACCTACGACCTACCATTGTACTTCCCTTACCCTCTCCTCCTCCAATGTCCTCCATTTCCCCACCTGCCTCTACCCCCGTCCTAACAATGTACTTCCCTGAACCTCTCCACCTCCATTTCTCCGACTGCCCCTACCTCCGACCTGCCAATGTACTTCACTTCACCTCTCCACCTCCGATGTCCTCAATTTCCCCATCTGCCCCAACCTACGACCTACCAATGTACTTCCCTTACCCTCTCCCCCTCCAATGTCCTCTATTTCCCGATCTGCCTCTACCCCCGTCCTAGCAATGTACTTCCCTGAACCTCTCCTCCTCCATTTCTCCGACTGCCCCTACCTCCGACCTACCAATGTACTTCCCTTCACCTCCCCACCTCCGATGTCCTCAATTTCCCCACCTGCCCCTACCTCCGACCCACCAATGTACTTCCCTTCACCTATCCTCCATGTCCCAACCTGCCCCTAGCCCCGGCCTACGAGTGTACTTCCCCTCTCCTCCTCCAATGTCCCCAATTTCCCCACCTGCCCCTACTCCCGTCCTAACAATGTACTTCCCTTCACCTCTCCTCCTCCATTTCCCCGTCTGCCCCTACCTCCGTCCTACCAATGTAACCCCCCTCACCTGTCCTCTTATAATCCCCATTTCCCCCACCTGCCCCTACCTCCGTCCTACCAATGGACTTCCCTTTACCCCTCCTCCTCTATTTCTTTCTCACTTTGAATACTCATGTTGAGCAACTTTGCCTTGGCGCGATTTTTATTTCTGTACTAACCATTGTTGCCAGGGGAAGGTTAAAGAATTATGTTACAGTGACTTAGTTGGCTTCCCTTCTATTGAATTATTGTGCATAAGATAAGGATTTCCGGGTGACTCCTGTTTGAGTCCTGTAGTAGCCATTGTGGCAGTTCCAATCTTGAACACACCCTAAATCTGAGAGAAAATAATATGTTCATGTCATTTGCTTATTAATAACTATATACAATGGTAATGAATTGCCTAAACCTTAACAGATGTAGTGTCAGGGTATTTTTTTTAACATTGTAAAGGGGTCACAGGTGGCCCACAAGTAACTCACTCACTCACTCTCATTGCAAACATGAAGTATTTTTTTATGATTCATTCAAGCGATCATAAAATCCTCATTCAAGCACGGTAACTCTTTTTAAGTAGCAAACTCTACTAGAGTAGCTTCCCTTGGAATGACCTTCGCATTTCACAACGTTTCTTCTCCATGTTCAACCCTGTATAGATGGCTGCCAAGTGTTGATGTAGATCTAACTTTATTCACAATGTAAGGCAGACGGAAGTGCCGAGTTGTGCATAAAGTCGACGCATGCGTGGTTTTGCCTAGAGTAGCGGCGTCATGACAACAGCTAGCCCTTCCTGTGTGTCAGCCATTTTGAGAGCTATCACTGGAAGTGTTCTCAGTTTTATTGTGCAAAATACGACTCTAAAAGTGTGTACGACTTGAAGAGGTGGAGAAAACTATGAATCCCACTACGACAGGTATTTGAAATTTGTATTTTGACCAGTGACAAAGTAACATGTGATTGTTTTAATGTGTTTACAATACAAACAATGAAACGCTGATGTTTCCGCACCGCATATTCAATTTTCATTGTCTGTATGAAGATCTTCTATTACAGAATTGCACAATAACCAATTCAAATTTTCGGAATTTCCAGTGTGTTATATTGTAGAGTTTCACATTAACTTTAGATGGTGATTGGTAACCTGAACATTTTAGGGAACTTTAGTTGTACTGTCACAAAACGTGAACATGATACACAACATTTTCGACTTCTTGGAATTCCTGCAGACATGCTGAACTTGTTTTCAAAAGACATAAATCTAATGAACAGTTAGATATTGGTTTTCACTATTAACGAAATGACGAATTATCTTGTAGGCAGTTTAGTAAACTATTCACTGTTACAGTGCCTGTGACCCGCTTGCTCCCCGGGCTGCCAACAGTGGTGTTGGGAGATGGGACCAGATGTCTGATAGATAACAACACTATCTGGATACCTGCTGGTAATCCTGTTAACCTCTCCCTGGATGCTGGTTACCTACAGCCAAGACTCCTTCAGCCTGGAGGTCAGTCATCTGTGACTGCTATCCCCTTGCCTCCTGCAGTCCAGCCACCATCTTGCAATAGACGTAGGGAGATGATGCCTGTCTGCCAGCTGCCTGTCAGCCTGCCCAGTGCAGTGCTAGACCTGGAGCTGATAAGACCAGAGGTATGCAGGAGTATTCTTGTTCTTTTGATGATTTATAAAACGTAACTCAAAAGATAATTATACTTGCTTTTATAGTAGAGATATACTTCCATTGTACTTAAGTAATCATAAAATATAAAAATGATACAATGACTGTATCGCCCATTAGGCCTTCTCCTGTGTTCTGCCCCAACTTGACCCACCCAGTCCAGTTCCTCATCCCCAGTCTATGGCCCATGTTGAAACTCCTCCCATGCCTACAACAAGCAACCCCAAACCCAATGTCCATCAAAAGCAGAAACTCGAGCTCAAGCCCTGCAAACGCAAGCCCCGCACGTTCAGGCCAAAACCTCAGCCAACGCCTCGCATTCCGAAGGAGAAAATGATCAAGCATCAGCCAGAGAGCAAGCCCTACTTTGTGCCTCAGCCTCTTGGCGCTCAGCACATCAAAACCCAGAGCAGACCCCTGGGGAACCGTATCACTAAGTCTGGGGGTAGAAATAGTATCATTAAGGCCTCACCTAAGAGTTTTGCTGAACAGTTGTTGTCTGCTGATGGTGCATACTTAAAGCCAAAGTCTGGTTGCAAGACATCCCCTGTCCCTGTTAAGAATGTAAAGGATAAGGTTGTTTCAGCACCAGAGAGTCCTAAGTCAGGTGGTGTCACTGCTGCAACATTAAGTGTACATTCTGCCAAGTCAGTGGACAGATGTGAGCCAAACTCTGATGATGAATATGATGTGGAATATCTGTATCTTACCAAACTCATTTTAAGGAAAAAGAAGAAACCCACATCTGAGCCCAGCAAGGAGCCCCTGCCTTCACGCAAGAGGAAGTGCCCAGATGACAACAGCGAGGTGTCCCAAGTTGTAAAGCAGGCGAGACTGGAGGAGCCCCAGGACACTCTTGAGGACCTGGAAGCTCTCCTGGCTGAGTACAGCTCCAGTCTCTCATCTGGCACCAGGGACTTTTTCTAAACAGTGTAAGGGGCAGGGAACAGGTAGGTATAGATTGGTGTATAGTTAGGTTGAGGTTTATACATGGTTTTCATGTCTTTCGCTAACAGTCATTGTTTTTGTACTACTTTGTACTGTTGTGCTCTACACTACCATCTACTGTGCTACACTTCTGTGCTATGTACTATCCTACACTAGTCTGCTATGTACTATCTGACACTACTCTACCGTGCACTGTCACACACAACTCCTATGCTACTCTACTATGTACTGTACTACCTTACCCTACCATGTACTGGCCTAATCTACACTACCATGTAATGTTATACACTACTCGAGTCAGTCTACTATGTACTTTCATATACTACTCTGCTACATACTTTCCTACACTACCCTGGGGCAGTCGGGTAGCCTAGTGGTTAAAGCTTTTGCTTGTGACACCGAAAACGTGGGTTTGAATCCTGACATGGGTACAGTGTCTGAAGCCCATTTCTGGTTGTCTCCCACCGTGATATTGCTGGAATATTTCTGAAAGCTCCGGAAAACCATACACACTCACTCACTCACTCCTACTCTACCGTGCACTGTCATTCTCTTCTTTACTTTATACTGTCCTAAACCACCCAACCATGTACTGACGTACTCTGCCCTCTTCTGTACTATCCTATTCTATCCTACACTATTCTACTGTAATACGCTACTACCCTACTCTATACTTACCTAATCTATCCTACTATCTTTCCTGTCTGGATACTCTCCTACACTGCACTGTATTGGCCTACACTAACCTACTCTCTACTGACCTACACTATCCTCTCAGTTACTGTCCAACACTACCCTACTGTGTACTGCCAAACATATATGCACTCTCCAGTCATTCACTATCCTAACTGACCTACACTAGCCTAAATGCAGTCCTACACTACACTATCCTATCTTACTCTATCTTACTATCTTACTATCTCCTGTCTTGTACTATTTGCTATCTTAATTTTCTTCTCTCTATTATCCTACTCTTTCCTGCCTTGTACTATCTACTATCTTATTGTTGTCTCTCCTATCCTACTCTCTCTCCTGTCTTTCTCCTTCCTCCTGTGTGCTGTCTTATATTTGATTTTATTCTCTCTACCACCATGACTATCATCCTCTTTCCTTCCTCGTACTACCTACTATCGTAGGGACCTCTCTACTATCCCATTCTTTCCACCTTTGTACTATCTACCATCTACTATCAGTATCTACCTCTACTATCCTCTTCCCTGTCTTGTACTATCTACTATCTTATTGTTTCTCCTAACCTACTCTCTCCTGACTTGTACTGTCTGCTATTTCATTTTCTTTTCTCTACTATCATACTCTTTCCTTCCTTCTGCTACCTACTTAATGTCCTCTCTACTATCCAATTCTCTCCACCTTTGTACTATCTACCATCTACTATCTACCTCTACTTTCCTGCCTTGTACTATCTAATATCTTAATGTTGTCTCTGATATCCTTCTCTTCCTGTTTTGTACGATGTACTGTCTTACTGTTCTACTCTCTACTATCCTAGTCTCTCCAGTGTTGTATTTTGAACCATCTATATGTTTCCCCTACTATCCTACTCTTTCCTGTCTTGTACTAGCTATTATCTTAATGTTCCCTCTACTAAACTACAGTTTCCTGTCTTGTACTATCTAATATCTTAATGTTGTCTCTGATATCCTTCTCTTCCTGTTTTGTACGATGTACTGTCTTACTGTTCTACTCTCTACTATCCTAGTCTCTCCAGCGTTGTGTTTTGAACCATCTTTATGTTTCCCCTACTATCCTACTCTTCCCTGTCTTGTACTAGCTATTACCTTAATGTTGTCTCTACTATCCTACTCTTTCCTGTCTTGTACTAGCTAGTATCTTAATGTTCCCATTACTAAACAACAGTTTCCTGACTTGTATTATCTCTTATCTTAATGTTGTCTCTACTATCCTACTCTTTCCTGTTTTTTTCACTGTGAATTATCTAAATATTCACTCTACTATCAAGTAATGAAAAATATACAGTGGAAACATGTCACTGTACAGTTTTGTAAGTGTATGTGAGGTGTGGAAAGGGGCGGCTGTGAGGGGAGGTTGGAGGCCGTTTATTTAGTATGTAACTGAAAAACATGTGTTTGTTTCTAACTAATGTCTACAATGGTTTCATAATAAAATATCACTTTGCAGTCTTAGTAGTAGTTATGTTTTATTTTAACAACTGAAGTTGAGTTGTGTGGTTTGTTAAAGTAGAGGAACAATTTGAGTGAAAGTACATTGCTAAGCATCGCAAAAGTGACTCAGTAACCAATTATAGATAGTTAACAGCATTGTCTTGGTGATGTCACTCAGTGTGTATGACTGTTGTAAATTAACAAGGTTGTAAATGGTCATGAAGTATCAGCTTGTATCTTCAACGAAAAGCCACCAATATATTCTGTGATTTTAATCCTAATTGTTGCACAAACAATGCCTGACGAGAGCCATAAATTGCAACGATAAGTTGTCACATTAGTGATTCATGAGTAATATCAGTGTTCATAGCTGATGCAAGTAAATTAAACTGGTATTTCACATACAATGCATGGCCAAGTAAGCTCATTAGCTTAGAGACAAATCTGTTATTAAATTGTCACTCCTTGCAAGAAAAAAAGGACGAAATATAATTTTCAACATTGAAATATGGGCATCAGCATACCAAATGGGGGTTGGCACACTCTTTTAACCCACACCATATATTACTTTGAGATGTTTGTGCATCACTCGAGACTGAAAATGCTTTTATTAGGGGGAATATCAAATTTTAATTTCACTTAGATTATTTGTCATATACTTAGCACCAGATATTAAGAGAACATGTGAGCAATTGTTTTAATTACTGTGTCTGACATTGAGTTAAACGTTTACTTCACACTTGCAATATTGTCACAATATAGTGACAAGGGACAATATACGATATGTCCATTGAGACGGAGGTTTTGTATTTTCTCAGACAAAAGCTCAGAAATGCTTTAGTATGACTGCCAAGGTGAGAATGGATTTCTCTGATGCGAGTAAAACAAATGTGGAACATACTTGGTAAGATGTGAGTGAGTACCTGTATCATTTTCCAAACCAATAGACCTGATACAGCGGTATTATACTTCTATAGCCTCAGTTGTTTCTCTGAATGCAGCAATACACACATGGAACATGTTATGGTAAACAAACCAATGGGTGAGTGATTGAAGTAGTTCGTAATCTTACAGCTGTATTGTGGCGGCATGTAAGATATTTCAGTCTGGACCAGATAAATCACAATGACACACAACGAACCAGGTCAGAGGTGGTCCTTCATCATATAATATTCATAGCCAGGAGCTGATTTGACCTACACATTCTTGAGACAAGAATGGATGACAGGTAAAAGTTTTCTAATATGGAAACCAAAAGGTGTTACTTTCATGAGCACTGATCATAAGTTGATATAATATGCATGTCACAGGTGGTCCTCCATAGATCACTTTTCACAACTAGCTGCCATTGTCACTAACTTATTCTATAGACAAGCACGGGTGAATGGTAACCACTGATGATACATGCATTGATAAAGCAAGTATGTATTTTGTCATATCATATACTTCTTCACGAGCAATACACGGGTGGGACACAGATTTGCCTCATGTAGATGTACTTGTGGCATTGTGACAGTTTAATTTCAGCTCATGTATTTGCCAGAGCCGTTCTCTCAGCTATTAAGAGAATGTGTCATATGAAAATATGAAAACTATGAAACTTCCTTTTCTGACATATGAAATCCGAAACGGTTTTATGACCAATTTATAATATAACATGACGGAAATAATGTCATTACCTAGCACAATTTACCTTTTAATTTCTTTAACTGAAAGTAACACAGAACCTTTAACACTGGTTTTACACTGCTGTAAATTATTGAACGTCCTTGCCTTGCCTTGGAATAAGCAGATTCCATTGCTTGTAAAGGCAAAATAGACATTAAAAGTTTATGAACAGAAGGGTGAAAATCAGTTGTTGACACCAGGTGTTCACGAAAATGGTAAACATTTCCTGCACTACGGGTAGAACCTCCCAGATTTGCACAAGAAAGTATGTCTTTGTTTCCTGGCACAACACAGCAGTACTCCTGCCATGCCACGGGGCATGTAAACAAACCAGACAATGAAATGATGAACCAGAAACCAGTATCATGATGGCGCATTTACCTTCTTTGGACAATGGTAAACTACCTCAGAATTTCAATTTCTATCAATATTTCTCTTATCTTCGTCCTCCCACTTTACTACCTATCCTCTCTCATAACACATGACCCTAATTTCCCACCATTTCCACAATAGTTTCCTTCACCTTGGCTACTCCCATGTCACCAATTCAAGACCAGTTTCTACCTCCAGTTTCGGTCCCTTACAGTACAACACCTCTCTCCTACTCTAATGTCCCAATTTCCACACCAGCCCCGACCTCCGTTCTCCAATAAAACTTCCCTTACCCTGTCCTACTCCTATGTAATTTCCATTTCCCCTTTAATCCTGCCTCTGTATCATCCAACCCTTCCCCTGTCTCTTTCGCTCATGTCCTTTGTTTCCCTCCACTTTTCTTTTCTTTTTCTTTCCCTCTCCTGCTCCCATGTCTCCTACTTCTCAACCAGCTCCTGCTTTCCCCACTTGCTCCTACCTCCATCCAACCACTGTACTTCCCTCAACCCCTCCGTGACGTATCTACCCCATTATGTTTCCTAACCTGCACCTACGTCAGGCTTTCCACCGCTCTTCCCTTCTCTACAAATACTCCCATGTCCCCCTTTCCCCCCATTTGCTCCTACGTCCATCACACCAATTACATCCCTTACTGTCTCCTCCGATGTCCTCCATTTTCCCACCTGCTCCTAACCCCGTCTTAACAGTGTGCTTCCCTTCACCTCTCCTGCTTCAATGATCTCCATTTCCCAACTTTCCCCTTCCTCCGTCCTACCAGTGTACTTTCCTTCACCTCTCCTCTTCCAATGTACTCCATTTCCCGATCTGCCTCTACCCCGTCCTAGCAATGTACTTCCCTGAACCTCTCCTCCTCCATTTCTCCGACTGCCCCTACCTCCGACCTACCAATGTACTTCCCTTCACCTCTCCACCTCCGATGTCCTCAATTTCCCCACCTGCCCCTACCTCCGACCTACCAATGTACTTCCCTTCACCTCTCCACCTCCGATGTCGTCAATTTCCCCACCTGCCCCTACCTCCGACCCACCAATGTACTTCCCTTCACCTATCCTCCATGTCCCAACCTGCCCCTAGCCCCGGCCTACGAGTGTACTTCCCTTCACCTCTCCTCCTCCAATGTCCCCAATTTCCCCACCTGCCCCTACTACCGTCCTAACAATGTACTTCCCTTCACCTCTCCTCCTCCATTTCCCCGTCTGCCCCTACCTCCGTCCTACCAATGTAACCCCCCTCACCAGTCCTCCTCTTATAATCCCCATTTCCCCCACCTGCCCCTACCTCCGTCCTACCAATGGACTTCCCTTTACCCCTCCTCCTCCATTTCTTTCTCACTTTGAATACTCCTGTTCAGCAACTTTGCCTTGGCACGATTTTTTATTTCTGTACTAACCATTGTTGCCAGGGGAAGGTTAAAGAATTATGTTACAGTGACCTAATTGGCTTCCCTTCTATTGAATTATTGTGCATAAGATAAGGATTTCCGGGTGACTCCTGTTTGAGTCCTGTAGTAGCCATTGTGGCAGTTCCAATCTTGAACACACACTAAATCTGAGAGAAAATAATATGTTCATGTAATTTGTTTATTAATTACTATATACAATGGTAATGAATTGCCTAAACCTTAACAGATGTAGTGTCAGGGTATTTTTTTTAACATTGTAAAGGGGTCACAGGTGGCCCACAAGTAACTCACTCACTCACTCTCATTGCAAACATGAAGTATTTTTTTATGATTAATTCAAGCGATCATAAAATCCTCATTCAAGCACGGTAACTCTTTTTAAGTAGCAAACTCTACTAGAGTAGCCTCCCTTGGAATGACCTTCGCATTTCACAACGTTTCTTCTCCATGTTCAACCTATATAGATGGCTGCCAAGTGTTGATGTAGATCTAACTTTATTCACAATGTAAGGCAGACGGAAGTGCCGAGTTGTGCATAAAGTCGACGCATGCGTGGTTTTGCCTAGAGTAGCGGCGTCATGACAACAGCTAGCCCTTCCTGTGTGTCAGCCATTTTGAGAGCTATCACTGGAAGTGTTCTCTGTTTTATTGTGCAAAATACGACTCTAAAAGTGTGTACGACTTGAAGAGGTGGAGAAAACTATGAATCCCACTACGACAGGTATTTGAAATTTGTATTTTGACCAGTGACAAAGCAACATGTGATTGTTTTAATGTGTTTACAATACAAACAATGAAACGCTGATGTTTCCGCACTGCATATTCAATTTTCATTGTCTGTATGAAGGTCTTCTATTACAGAATTGCACAATAACCAATTCAAATTTTCGGAATTTCCAGTTGGTTATATTGTAGAGTTTCACAATAACTTTAGATGGTGATTGGTAACCTGAACATTTTAGGGAATTTTAGTTGTACTGTCACAAAACGTGAACATGATACACAACATTTTCGACTTCTTGAAATTCCTGCAGACACGCTGAACTTGTTTTCAAAAGACATAAATCTAATGAACAGTTAGATTTGGTTTTCACTATTAACGAAATGATGAATTATCTTGTAGGCAGTTTAGTAAACTATTCACTGTTACAGTGCCTGTGACCCGCTTGCTCCCCGGGCTGCCAACAGTGGTGTTGGGAGATGGGACCAGATGTCTGATAGATAACAACACTATCTGGATACCTGCTGGTAATCCTGTTAACCTCTCCCTTGATGCTGGTTACCTACAGCCAAGACTCCTTCAGCCTGGAGGTCCGTCATCTGTGACTGCTATCCCCTTGCCTCCTGCAGTCCAGCCACCACCTTGCAATAGACGTAGGGAGATGATGCCTATCTGCCAGCTGCCTGTCAGCCTGCCCAGTGCAGTGCTAGACCTGGAGCTGATAAGACCAGAGGTATGCAGGAGTATTCTTGTTCTTTTGATGATTTATAAAACGTAACTCAAAAGATAATTATACTTGCTTTTATAGTAGAGATATACTTCCATTGTACTTACGTAATCATGAAATATAAAAATGATACAATGACTGTATCGCCCATTAGGCCTTCTCCTGTGTTCTGCCCCAACTTGACCCACCCAGTCCAGTCCCTCATCCCCAGTCTATGGCCCATGTTGAAACTCCTCCCATGCCTACAACAAGCAACCCCAAACCCAATGTCCATCAAAAGCAGAAACTCGAGCTCAAGCCCTGCAAACGGAAGCCCCGCACGTTCAGGCCAAAACCTCAGCCAACGCCTCGCATTCTGAAGGAGAAAATGATCAAGCATCAGCCAGAGAGCAAGCCCTACTTTGTGCCTCAGCCTCTTGGAGCTCAGCACATCAAAACCCAGAGCAGACCCCTGGGGAACCGTATCACTAAGTCTGGGGGTAGAAATAGTATCATTAAGGCCTCACCTAAGAGTTTTGCTGAACAGTTGTTGTCTGCTGATGGTGCATACTTAAAGCCAAAGTCTGTCTTGCCCAGTACAGGTTGCAAGACATCCCCTGTCCCTGTTAAGAATGTAAAGGATAAGGTTGTTTCAGCACCAGAGAGTCCTAAGTCAGGTGGTGTCACTGCTGCAACATTAAGTGTACATTCTGCCAAGTCAGTGGACAGATGTGAGCCAAACTCTGATGATGAATATGATGTGGAATATCTGTATCTTACCAAACTCATTTTAAGGAAAAAGAGGAAACCCACATCTGAGCCCAGCAAGGAGCCCCTGCCTTCACACAAGAGGAAGTGCCCAGATGACAACAGCGAGGTGTCCCAAGCTGTAAAGCAGGCGAGACTGGAGGAGCCCCAGGACACTCTTGAGGACCTGGAAGCTCTCCTGGCTGAGTACAGCTCCAGTCTCTCATCTGGCACCAGGGACTTTTTCTAAACAGTGTAAGGGGCAGGGAACAGGTAGGTATAGATTGGTGTATAGTTAGGTTGAGGTTTATACATGATTTTCATGTCTTTCGCTAACAGTCATTGTTTTTGTACTACTTTGTACTGTTGTGCTCTACACTACCATCTACTGTGCTACACTTCTGTGCTATGTACTATCCTACACTACTCTTCTATGTACTATCTGACACTACTCTACCGTGCACTGTCACACACAACTCCTATGCTACTCTACTATGTACTGTACTACCTTACCCTACCATGTACTGGCCTAATCTACACTACCATGTAATGTGATACACTACTCGAGTCAGTCTACTATGTACTTTCATATACTACTCTGCTACATACTTTCCTACACTACTCTGGGGCAGTCGGGTAGCCTAGTGGTTAAAGCTTTTGCTTGTGACACCGAAAACGTGGGTTTGAATCCTGACATGGGTACAGTGTCTGAAGCCCATTTCTGGTTGTCCCCCGCCGTGATATTGCTGGAATATTTCTGAAAGCTCCGGAAAACCATACACACTCACTCACTCACTCCTACTCTACCGTGCACTGTCATTCTCTTCTTTACTTTGTACTGTCCTAAACCACCCGAATATGTACTGACGTACTCTGCCCTCTTCTGTACTATCCTATTCTATCCTACACTATTCTACTGTAATACGCTACTACCCTACTCTATACTTACCTAATCTATCCTACTATCTTTCCTGTCTGGATACTCTCCTACACTGCACTGTATTGGCCTACACTAACCTACTCTCTACTGACCTACACTATCCTCTCAGTTACTGTCCAACACTACCCTACTGTGTACTGCCAAACATATATGCACTCTCCAGTCATTCACTATCCTAACTGACCTACACTAGCCTAAATACAGTCCTACACTACACTATCCTATCTTACTCTATCTTACTATCTTACTATCTCCTGTCTTGTACTATTTGCTATCTTAATTTTCTTCTCTCTATTATCCTACTCTTTCCTGCCTTGTACTATCTACTATCTTATTGTTGTCTCTCCTATCCTACTCTCTCTCCTGTCTTGTACTATTTGCTATCTTAATTTTCTTATCTCTATTATCCTACTCTTTCCTGCCTTGTACTATCTACTATCTTATTGTTGTCTCTCTTATCCTACTCTCCACTGCCTTGTACTGTCTGCTATTTAATTTTTTCCCCTACTATCATCCTCTTTCCTTCCTTCTACTATCTCAATATCCTCTCTACTATTCCATTCCCTCCACCTTCGTACTATCTACGAGTTACTTTCTACCTCTACTATCCTACTCTCTCCTGTTGTTTGCTGTCTTATATTTAATTTTATTCTCTCTACCACCATGACTATCATCCTCTTTCCTTCCTCGTACTACCTACTATCGTAGGGACCTCTCTACTATCCCATTCTTTCCACCTTTGTACTATCTACCATCTACTATCAGTATCTACCTCTACTATCCTCCTCCCTGTCTTGTACTATCTACTATCTTATTGTTTCTCCTAACCTACTCTCTCCTGACTTGTACTGTCTGCTATTTCATTTTCTTTTCTCTACTATCATACTCTTTCCTTCCTTCTGCTACCTACTATCTTAATGTCCTCTCTACTATCCCATTCTCTCCACCTTTGTACTATCTACCATCTACTATCTACCTCTTCTTTCCTGCCTTGTACTATCTAATATCTTAATGTTGTCTCTGATATCCTTCTCTTCCTGTTTTGTACGATGTACTGTCTTACTGTTCTACTCTCTACTATCCTAGTCTCTCCAGTGTTGTATTTTGAACCATCTATATGTTTCCCCTACTATCCTACTCTTTCCTGTCTTGTACTAGCTATTATCTTAATGTTCCCTCTACTAAACTACAGTTTCCTGTCTTGTACTATCTAATATCTTAATGTTGTCTCTGATATCCTTCTCTTCCTGTTTTGTACGATGTACTGTCTTACTGTCCTACTCTCTACTATCCTAGTCTCTCCAGCGTTGTGTTTTGAACCATTTATATGTTTCCCCTACTATCCTACTCTTCCCTGTCTTGTACTAGCTATTATCTTAATGTTGTCTCTACTATCCTACTCTTTCCTGTCTTGTACTAGCTATTATCTTAATGTTCCCTCTACTAAACAACAGTTTCCTGACTTGTATTATCTCTTATCTTAATGTTGTCTCTACTGTCCTACTCTTTCCTGTTTTTTTCACTGTGAATTATCTAAATATTCACTCTACTATCAAGTAATGAAAAATATACAGTGGAAACATGTCACTGTACAGTTTTGTAAGTGTATGTGAGGTGTGGAAAGGGGCGGCTGTGAGGGGAGGTTGGAGGCCGTTTATTTAGTATGTAACTGAAAAACATGTGTTTGTTTCTAACTTATGTCAACAATGGTTTCATAATAAAATATCACTCTGCAGTCTTAGTAGTAGTTATGTTTTATTTTAACAACTGAAGTTGAATTGTGTGGTTTGTTAAAGTAGAGGAACAATTTGAGTGAAAGTACATTGCTAAGCATCGCAAAAGTGACTCAGTAACCAATTATAGATAGTTAACAGCATTGTCATTGTCTGGACCAGATAAATCACAATGACACACAACGAACCAGGTCACAGCTGGTCCTTCATCATATAATATTCATAGCCAGGAGCTGATTTGACCTACACATTCTTGAGACAAGAATGGGTGACAGGTAAAAGTTTTCTAATATGGAAACCAAAAGGTGTTACTTTCATGAGCACTGATCATAAGTTGATATAATATGCATGTCACAGCTGGTCCTCCATAGATCACTTTTCACAACTAGCTGCCATTGTCACTAACTTATTTTAATAGACAAGCATGGGTGAATGGTAAATGTTTCATGATCTGGACACAAAAGATGGGTCACTCTGATGACCACTGATGATACATGCATTGATATAGCAAGTATGTATTTTGTCATATCATATACTTCTTCACGAGCAATACACGGGTGGGACACAGATTTGCCTCATACAGATGTACTTGTGGCATTGTGACAGTTTAATTTCAGCTCATGTATTTGCCACAGCCGTTCTGTTAGCTATTAAGAGAATGTGTCATATGAAAATATGAAAACTATGAAACTTCCTTTTCTGACATATGAAATCCGAAACGGTTTTATGACCAATTTATAATATAACATGACGGAAATAATGTCATTACCTAGCACAATTTACCTTTTAATTTCTTTAACTTAAAGTAACACAGAACCTAAAGGATTGAGTATGGTTTTACACTTCTGTAAATTATTGAACGTCCTTGCCTTGCCTTTGAATAAGCAGATTCCATTGCTTGTAAAGGCAAAATAGACATTAAAAGTTTATGAACAGAAGGGTGAAAATCAGTTGATGACACCAGGTGTTCACGAAAATGGTAAACATTTCCTGCACTACAGGTAGTACCTCCCAAATTTGCACAAGAAAGTATGTCTTTGTTTCCTGGCACAACACAGCAGTACTCCTGCCATGCCACGTGGCATGTAAACAAACCAGGCAATGAAATGATGAACCAGAAACCAGTATCATGATGGCGCATTTACCTTCTTTGGACAATGGTAAACTACCTCAGAATTTCAATTTCTATCAATATTTCTCTTATCTTCGTCCTCCCACTTTACTACCTATCCTCTCTCATAACACATGACCCTAATTTCCCACCATTTCCACAATAGTTTCCTTCACCTTGGCAACTCCCATGTCACCAATTCAAGACCAGTTTCTACCTCCAGTTTCGGTCCCTTACAGTACAACACCTCTCTCCTACTCTAATGTCCCAATATCCACGCCAGCCCCGACCTCCGTTCTCCAATAAAACTTCCCTTACCCTGTCCTACTCCTATATAATTTCCATTTCCCCTTTAATCCTGCCTCTGTATCATCCAACCCTTCCCCTGTCTCTTTCGCTCATGTCCTTTGTTTCCCTCCACTTTTCTTTTCTTTTTCTTCCCCTCTCCTGCTCCCATGTCTCCTATTTCTCAACCAGCTCCTGCTTTCCCCACTTGCTCCTACTTCCATCCAACCACTGTACTTCCCTCAACCCCTCCGTGACGTATCTACCCCGTTATGTTTCCCAACCTGCACCTACGTCAGGCCTTCCACCGCTCTTCCCTTCTCTACAAATACTCCCATGTCCCCCTTTCCCCCCATTTGCTCCTACGTCCATCACACCAATTACATCCCTTACTGTCTCCTCCGATGTCCTCCATTTCCCCACCTGCTCCTAACCCCGTCTTAACAGTGTGCTTCCCTTCACCTCTCCTGCTTCAATGATCTCCATTTCCCAACTTTCCCCTTCCTCCGTCCTACCAGTGTACTTTCCTTCACCTCTCCTCCAATGTCCTCCATTTCCCCACCTGCCCCAACCTAAGACCTACCATTGTACTTCCCTTACCCTCTCCTCCTCCAATGTCCTCCATTTCCCCACCTGCCTCTACCCCCGTCCTAACAATAAACTTCCCTGAACCTCTCCACCTCCATTTCTCCGACTGCCCCTACCTCCGACCTACCAATGTACTTCACTTCACCTCTCCACCTCCGATGTCCTCAATTTCCCCACCTGCCCCAACCTACGACCTACCAATGTACTTCCCTTACCCTCTCCCCCTCCAATGTCCTCTATTTCCCGATCTGCCTCTACCCCCGTCCTAGCAATGTACTTCCCTGAACCTCTCCTCCTCCATTTCTCCGACTGCCCCTACCTCCGACCTACCAATGTACTTCCCTTCACCTCCCCACCTCCGATGTCCTCAATTTCCCCACCTGCCCCTACCTCCGACCCACCAATGTACTTCCCTTCACCTATCCTCCATGTCCCAACCTGCCCCTAGCCCCGGCCTACGAGTGTACTTCCCTTCACCTCTCCTCCTCCAATGTCCCCAATTTCCCCACCTGCCCCTACTCCCGTCCTAACAATGTACTTCCCTTCACCTCTCCTCCTCCATTTCCCCGTCTGCCCCTACCTCCGTCCTACCA